CCAGCAGCTGGCCTGTGTAGAACGGCGTCCAAGTGGCGGGCCCTGGGAACAGGCAGTCGTTAGCTGCTAAGCTGCTTAGTCCTCTCTCCAGCCTCACCGAGCTTGCGACAGCTGTGGGTTGACCGACGGCTGACAAACCTAGACAACGCTCCCCGCACCTAGAGTGGTAAACAGTTGCAGTGCCTGACCAGCCCTCCGCGCGGTGCCAACGACGACGCCAAACCACCGTGTATACGCCATTGCTGACCCTGCCCGCGCATACACATGCTTCACTCACCCCGAACCTTGGCCCGCCGACGCATTGTGGCTGGGCTCACCCGACGGCGGTAGACAACACTCCATCGTCAACGCATGAGCAGAATGCACACCTATGCACTCCACTGATACCAAGATACCAAGTCTCCACGCCTAAAACCCCGTCATGACTAACGGGGCCAAGTCCTCAAACACAGTTTCAGACTCTCTGCTAACCCGCCCCCCCTCGGCCCTACCCTCACCCACGCTACGCACCCTCTCCTCTATGTGTGTGTGTGCCAAGCACTTCCCACTCGGCGCTTCTTCGTGAACTGCTCTGCTTCCTCTTGATTGCTCCACGCGACCAGCTCGTCCCTGCTAGCTGCCAAATTCCTGCCCAAGCCAAGTCTCTCTAGCAAAATAAAAAAAGGACGCACGCACAGCCATGGCAGAGCCTCCCGTCCTCTTCGTCACCGCCACATTCCTGCACTACTTACACACTGACGCGCTGACATCTACCGCGCCTCCCACCCCTCACAATCTCACACACACTAGGCCTGATTAGGTGCAATGTCGTCCCCCTCCACCCCCCCCCCCCAAAATGCCTATTTTTAGACAAAGGCCATGTAGCCTGTCTGTGTCTGTCTGTCTGTCTGTCTGTCTGTCATCCTTCTTTTTTTTCCCTTATCCAGCTTCCGCCCCGCCCCCCCCTTCCCCCTTCTTTTCACCTGCCGCTCTTCGCTGTCCTTTTACGACTGGATCCTAGCCTCCAAAAGCTGGAGAAAAGAACGGCCGCTGATCTCACATGACTCGCATCCTTCGCTTTCGTGCATAAGCCCATCACCGCTCACACACTACTTACAAGTATAATACTTCATATTAATATCACCCTTCGCTTGGGGGGCTCGTGAAACATCTAATCATGCTTTTCCTGTAGTAGTACACCTCTCTATTTCATTGTTTTTTTCTGGCCCAATAGCCATTAATATCATGTAGTGTGCTATAGCAAACAGACACTACTGCTGCCCTTTTGTCGTCGTGTGCCCCTAGGCCTGACCGCCTGCGTGCCCACCCACCCCCAAACGCGCGTCTCTTGCAAATCTTTCATTCACAGCTCGACAGTAGACACGTCAAGGTAATCATGGGCATGTGCTTCGCAGCTATTGCAGATACATGACCAATCTTGGTCGTTGATTTCCTATCTTGCCTGCTGCGCACTAATCCTGCAGTCTGCCCTACGTATGGGGCGCTACGGACGCGCGTCAACCCCTCCCCTTCTACTCATCACCCTACTGCTGCGGATCCCCACACCTCCCGTGTACAACTCATCCCATCCATCTCACCTGCCTGCTAGCATCTAGTCCAAATGCCGGCAACCGTGAATCCCATACATCATGCGTACAAAGCCTAGAAATGCTCGTGACATATGAAATAAAACATAAGAAATCCAATCGCAATTCGTGAAAAAAAACCTGATGCCGAGTGGTATAAACAGTGTCGCAAGCAAAAAAAACCCCCCTTGCGCACACACACAAACAGGTAGAAGTGAAGAATGCAGCATTGCAATGAGCAAAAAAAAGACGTCTTGGTCGCTAATACAACGCGGCACAAGAGAGAGAGAGAGACAGAGATGACAGCGAAGGAGAAGAAGAAGAATGATGATGATAGAGAAGAATAGAAGAAAAAATGACTAGGAAAGCCTCAGTCGAGGTCGGGGTCAAGACATTAGAGTTTACCGCTTATGTCTCTTGTAAACTTGCTCCTGAACGCCAGCGCAAAATGGATCCAAATCGACATGAATCCCAGATTCTATATTTTACACGCCGGACCGTCTTCCGCGTAGCGAGTGTCGCGGGTATCATTTCGGAAGAGTACCGGCTTACATCGCACAGTCTGCATGCCCATGAGCAGGCCACCAAGCGATTCTCACCTGGTACCACGGCCCTGCCTCTGGCTACTCATGTAGACAAGATGCGACAAACAAGTACCGGGAATGGTAGTGAGCATAAGGTGCGTGCTTGGCGCGCTTGCTACCCACAATTTCACCGTGGGTGTTGGTTTCGAGGGTCTTGCTGGTTTTGCTGTTGACCACCCTCGCCCCGGGCTCGTATCCAGGCCGAGTTGCCGCTCATCCGGCCTTCGAGTGCTTTTTGAGCGTCGGCATCTAGTCGGCGTGTCACCTGGCCGTTGATGATGTCTTCGGGTCGTAGTTTGCACACGGCCTGTGCAATGGATGAGATGACACCGGCGCGGAGCTCCTTGGCTTCGCGGATGTCTTCACCCTGTAGGCGGAACTTGTCCTGTTTGGACATGTTTGCTCGTCGTGTTGCTCGAATCTCGTCCATGATATAGAGGAGAACTGCCTCTGGTGCGCGGTTGCGCTCGGCAGCATGCTTAGCGTCACGGACATATCGGCGGGTGACGTCCATGGCACCATCAGCCGAAAAGGCAATGCAGTAAGAGAGCTTCTTGCCCCAGCCTGGAACCAATGTTAGTTTGTGTGTCGTGTACGCATCTTGGAAAGAGACTGACCATCAGTGTATAGCCGGGGCTTATCCCATGCCTCTTCGCAGGCATCTACGTGGACCCATCGCTTGCGGTGCACAGAGTAAACCTCGGTCCAGACATGGTCTTCGGCATTCCAGACCCAGCGTACTCTTGAGCCAACGGCGCGGCAGAGCATGCTGAAACAGTTTGCCCATTCACCACATCGGCCTCTTCGGGTTTGGAGCAAGACAAAGGCGTCGTTGTATCGGGGGAAACGCTCGTAGTTCCTGCAGCCGTCGTTGGAGCAGCGGTAGGCTTCAACCTGGCTGGCGCCGCGGGCCTGTTCATCGGGAAGTGGTGGTGTGATGCCCATGGCAACGGTGGGTGAGTAGCATCGCGAGCAGGGAGGGTTGTTGACCCATGAGAAGAAGGAACGTTTGAACCATCGCAGCAGTGCACGAACAACGCAGTCTTGGTAGCCCCACGCCGCCTTCTTGCCAGCGCCCATGCTCTCGGCCTCGGCCTGCAGGATCTGGCTTTCTTCTTCAGCCTCGTTGTAGATTTGCTCAAGCGGGATGACGCGAAGGGCCTCGTCGAGTAGTCCAGGGTTTTCCCATCGCACGGGCATGTTGGAGAGCGAGTGGAGCATGTTCTTGAAGCGGAGGGAACGAGCATCACGTGGGGGTTCTGGGACGAGGGGGATGTTCTTGATGGACGAGTAGGCCGGTGGGGCTGCTTGCGAGGGCGGCGGCTGGGGAGATCCAAAGTCGCGGGGCGCTGGTGACGAGGAGCGGGATTGAGATGTGCGAGATGTGAGGTCGTTGATTCGCTTTGTGCTGAGGACGTGGCGGAACTGTTCAGTCAGTTCGGCAGCCAGCCTGTCCGTGTCCATGGCGTGGCTGGCAGCGCGAGGAGCGCGGGTGTTGTGGTCCATTGTCGACGGGCGCGAGGAGCAGTCGCAACGGCGGGGGTTGTTGTGATGATGGGGGGGGAGTGTCGAGGGGAGGGTGGATGGCGTCGGGGGGAGGAGCTGTGTATAGCGTGGTGGACAGGCGCTGCAGGTTTGGCAGTGGATGCACAGCCCGATGATGCGGCGGCGCAGCAACGCGGACTGCCACTTGCAGATGGTGTATTCAGGGAAAAGGCTGCCGCTGCTGCTGTCGACGGGCGCGAGGACGGCGATGGCTCTTCTGTGTGGAAGTGCAGGCAGCGGAGCAGCGCAGAGAGACACAGAGGCGGCGTCGGTAGAGTCGTGGTGTCGCTGCAGCGGACGCAGGTGGACGAGGGTAATTGATTGAGGGATGGGGCAAGACGACGACGACTCGCGCTTACCGCATGCGGGCGGGTTGACGCGGCCCTGTCGCGGCTTCCTCATGTCTAGAACCCACAACACCGACCAGCCGTGACCGTCACCTGCAACCACGCGCAGGCAGAAGAAGCGCCAGGCCGCGCCTCATCTGCCCGGCCCTTATTCATCCACCCGCACTCGGTCCCTCCATTATTCATCATCCATCTGCTACGCACCCTCGGCCCATCCACCCATCCATCGTCTACACATGTACAATACACACGCACCATCCGGCTCTGCCCTGCCGGCCTGTCCTGCCCTGCGCCATCCGACGCCCACCGTCCACTGTCCTGGGCAACCGGGTACGCAGCACCACGCAGGGGGCGGTCCACGCCTCGCTAAGCGTGGCAGATTCGCACTACAGCTTGCGCAATCTTTGGTGAACCACTTTGGCTGCGTCGCAAGCACCACGGCCCTTCTCTCGTCACTTGTTTCGACCCCGTCGCCAAGCTGCCTCTGCACCAGAGACGCGCCACACAAGCTTTGCCGGCCAATATTGGTTGTCGACGCTTTCGTCCCACGCCCCGTGACCCAGCAACGCCTTCATTGCTGCTCCTTCACACACATTACGTGATGGCCGCCCCCGTCTAATACCCACTTCATGATCCGCTTGCCGCAAGCCCTGCACCTCCCTCCACTCAGCCTCAACTGACCATGGCCTGCCCCCTCGCAAAAAGTACTTACTGGGTACTTAATCTCCCCTGCCCTTCTAGAGTGCTTTCCCTGCTCACGCTATTACCCTCGCGGCACGCCTGAGTGGCCGAGACATTCCTCTGTCGCTAGCCACGCGTCCGTCTGCCCGAAACTCCACCGCCGTTGAACATCAGCCTGCGCAAAAGAATTCGCCGGTCTAACGCAAAAACGCCATGACTTTGTCCACGCATCTTGTCCATTCCATCGTCGACCTTTTTGCACTTTTGCATCTTTTTTTTTTGCTTGCCCCTACCGACACTTTTTGCATCATCTGCTAAACGCATGCGCGGCGCTGAACCCATCGGTGGCGCAAATTCTTGGGATCGACTGCAGGTCATAACCCGATTACGACGTGCGCGCCTAAAGCCTTTACAGGCCTCGTCATTGTGTTCCAAACACGAATCCCTTTCTTCTGTTCCCAACGGGATCCGCACGCCCACCGACGCTGCTCTCCCTCATCTGCAAGGCTAAGCACGCATGTATGACTCGCACATCAACAGTTTACAATTTAGTAGGTCTATGTGAACATCACTCGCCCATCTAACCCAACAGCACACTGTATCTGGACACTTACCTCCACTAATTTCCTCGGACCTCCATTTACTACGGCTCGTATCAAGCCTCTTGCAGAGCCGACATTATCATCCTTTTACCGTACCCAGAATTCTTGAACAGCTGTCGATGGGTCCCGCTTCACTATCGTCCTTCACCGCATATTTTCTGTTCATCTCTACCGTCACCACGCACACGAAAAAGAAAAAAATCTTCATTTATCTCCGATCCCTCCCGGACATGTGTGCCTGTGTGTGTGTGTGTGTGTCACACAAGGTCCTGCTCGTCTTACGTCTGCTTACCTGGATATAATATGTCGAACCATCAGCACAAACTTTTGGCATTAGTGGTCAGCTATCACTCCATCAGCATCGCTCGGGACGATGCAAGTGACATCTCGATAATTCTCTTCCCATCATCCGATCATCTCATCCCGGCTGCAACTCGTACTGTGCTCAAAGTCACATAGCACGATCGGGGAATGCTGACGTAGACCTGGCTCACTCACGGACCCCCCATCAGCCACGATCCCGGCGCAGTACCGACCCAAAGTACCTACGTACCACCAATAGCCTTTGACAGGGTAGTACGTATGTAAGTAAGTATATACGCAGGCCCTTAGGCAGACCTGCCTTACGTGCGTACGAAGCCTATCCTGAGCCAAGCATTTGCTCGATGAACCATGATTGACCGCTTGCGGTTTCTGCCCCACGACACCAGGGATTTATATTTTCTTGAGTCCCCGAATATGCGATGTGGCTTGGAAGTGTGTACCTTACTATCCCGTATATAGGGTCGGGTATGGCTGTTGCATGTCACGAGACAAAATGTCAAACTTTATGTATTTCTCTACTAATCCAGAACTTTTTTTTTTCGCACCACGACTGTTTCTCCCAATCTTGCACAAGTATATATAAAAAGAGAGAACCCGCTCACCCGCGCATACCTCTCTTCTAGCAAGTATCGAAATCGACAAAAGTGGGAAGCTAGAAAAAGAAAAACCTGTTTTCAGTAACCAAAGGGGGAGAGCGCACACACACACAACCCGTCCCATGCCGAAAAGGCCCAAGCCGTGTCCGAATTCTGATCTGAAACGTCGTCTACACCAACATCCCCTGTCGATGATCACTCAAAGTGTTACTGCGGGAAAACTAGGATTGGAGTCATGGAACCCGTTCTGCGGGGTAGAGAGGGGTGTCCCAAATAACGATGTGCACGGCACAGTTTGGTATATAAAATCCCCCTTTTTTCTTTTATTCAATTGAATGACAAACTATTTCTTTGTCTTTCTTAAGAACAAGGTATACATATATAGCTATATGTGTATATGACATCGTGTTGAGTCTACTGTGATCATGATGCTCGTTACAAAAGTAGCCCAAACGCCCATGATGTGGTATATACTTGGAAGAAGAGAAACAAATTTTTTTAAAAAAAAAACCAGTCGTGACGTTACATTCCTGCCTTGATAATCAGGACGCTAGCTCCAAGCTTGCCTTCCCATACCTGTTCAGCCAGCACACCCAATGTCTGTGCTGCGCCAGTGCTACTTCGGATCTCATCCGTGTTGCCTGAGCGTTCCAGTACACCGTTAAGCGATACATTGCGACCTAGGACAATCAAGTCTCCGGCATTCCTTGGCGACTGGTTAATCTCAATACTTGCGCGGGCAATAACGTCGCTAACAGGGGCGGTTGAGGTGACCGTCTCGAAAACAACGCGGTTGGCTAGATCAGCGGGAAGCGAGGCGCGGAGCGAAGCGAAGAAGGCGGCATCCTGCTCGCGCGATGAAGGAGGAGTGATGGAGCTAGATAGAGATGCCCATGTTGATTCCGAGAGATCAAAGTGAACAACGGTAGCGGTGACTTGGGGGTTTCGGGCTAGCTGCAACACCAGGCGCAAAGCAGTCTTGTCGTCGTTGCCGCCGAAGAAGGGGAAAAACACGTGGTGGCTCTTGTCAGTGATGGGTGCTGTCACAGTCTTTTCCCGTGCGCTGCCCAGACTGACGCTACTGATTGTACGGTTGAGTCTGAGCCGTTGCTGCTTGTGCTCCTTGTTCTTGCTGCCGCCAAAGTTCTTGTTGATGAGCACAGCAACGGGAATACTTGCGTTCTCCAGTGTCTCATGTACAAAAGCGTTGTAACTGGATGCCTCGAGTTTGTTCTTTGTGCCCTTGTCTTCTATGATGGCCTGTTCAGACATACCGCCCGTCTCACTCCATGGCATGATAAGAAATTGCGAGTCCGAGGCGCGTGTTGCTAATGTTTCGGCAAATGACGATTCTGGCACAACGAGTACCTCACCACTGACAGCAAGGTTGTGAAGGCGTCCAAAGGTGCGGAATGTGTTGACAACCGGATCGTAAGCGGTGTAGGATTCCAATTCGGAAACTTGCATGACGGACGAGCCACGATCAGTCAGGCTGAGAAGGCGAAGACCGTAGGCTTCCACGGGACGGTTTGGTAGTGTCACTTCTGTTAGGCTCGTGTCACCGACCTCCTTGCCTAGGCTGGTGCTAGTGCTCGTGCTGGCGTCTTTTGATGGATGTGTCTTTGGTGCTGGGATATCATTCCCGCCAAACAGGCAAGTAAAGGCCAGGAGGTTGGGCATGCTATCCAGGCGGAGGTAGACGGTCAATTTCTCAATCTTCTCCGCGGCCATCTTCTCGTATTCCACAATGTCGCTGCTGCCTTCAGAATCGATGGGCTTACCAGTGTCCCAGTCGATTTCACCTCGACGCCATGCTTCGACCTTCTTCTGGTACCATGGAGGATAAAACAACATTGCCAATGGGGATGAGGCAAAGGTGGTAACGAGAGCCATGACGACGAAGATGGTAAAGGTTCGAGTGCTGAGAATCTTGGCGTTGAGACCAATGTTCTGCAATCGTTAGTGTCTCATCATAAATGATTACCAAATTGTTAATCTTACCAAGACGATGAGTTCGACGAGACCCTTGCAACTCATCAAGGAACCCACAGCGAAGCACTCTCGCCACAACATCTTGCTGCCCCTTGCTGCAAGTGTAGCGCTAATGAACTTGGAAAAGAACGCGACGGCCACGACTCCAATAACATAAGCCCACACAATACCGGAATTCAAGAGGCCAATGTTAGTGTTCAGTCCCGAGAGAGTGAAGTACAGGGGCAGAAACAGTGCACCAATTAAATCTTCAATCTTTTCGGCGACCTTGATGGCGAAACCACCTTCGTGAGGACAAATCAAACCAGCCATGAAAGCTCCGAAAATGGGATGGACACCGATGATACCGGTAAAGAAGGCCGATCCGAGGGCGATAAGGAGAGTCAGGCTGATGATACCCTGACTGGGTCCATCTTGAAGCGCGCGAGATCGACGTAGGACGTAGACGAAGGCCGGTCGAACAACGTAGACGAGGAAGACCATGTATCCCGCACAGGTGAGCAGAACCCAGAGTGCTGTTAGTCCTGAACCTGCATTGACGAGTGCGACGCAGAGAGCGAGTAGGATCCATCCTAGAAAACGAATCAGCCTTGGTACTACAACTGTGGGGCGTTTTGGCATGTGCAACACTCACCAACAACGTCGTTACCAACACCGGCTGACAAAACGATGATACCAACTGGCGTCATGAGCAATTTGAGTTCAGTTAGAATACGGCAAAGCACTGGGAAGGCCTTTTCAAAAAGTCAGTAGCAGACTAGGTCATGGTACAAGGCAGACTTACCGTAATCGCCATGGCAACACCAATAAACAGCATGTAGATTGAAAAGTCAATTTCCACAGTGTTAGGGTCTCCCTTGAACTCGTTGTACAATCCGACGGCGATGGCAGCTCCCATTCCAAATGGTATAGCCATACTTGCCAAACCAACACTGAGTGCAGGTTTCCAATTGCTGAGTAAATGCCTAAGGTCAACTTCAAGTCCAATGATGAAGAGGAATAAAGTTAGACCGAGATTTGCCGCTAAATTCAGGTTGACCATGGATTCTTTTGGGAAAATGGACTCCTGGAAGCCGGGAATGCGGCCCATGACGGAGGGGCCAAGGACGATGCCACCAATAATTTCGGCAATGACGCGTGGTTGTCGGATTTTGGAGAGTGGGTAGTTGATCAGATGGCACACGATGATAATGATACCGGCCTGGTGTGTGTTAGAATTTTCATCTTGATTTTCGTTTGGATTCGGATAAGTTGATCAAAGCGAAGCTAGGGAGGAGGTAATTGCTCGGACTCGTATTCCAAGCTCTGTCAATCCTTACCTGCACAATGAACAAGGTGATAGGATGAGCCGCATCAAAATGTACAGGATTCATTCCCTCGAGAATACCAGCCTGCGGCGGCGCCTTGGGGCGCGCCGTCGCGGTGGCATTCGCCGATGCAAGTGTCGAAGACATGTTTCTGCCTAGTAGCTTTGAGGCGGTAGTGTACCCCGGATTATGGGAAAGCCAACCCCACAAAAAGAAACGGGGGCAGACAGCAACCCTCAAACGCTAGATCAACGTTGTCGAGAAAGAAAAAGTAAGAACCTCAAGGCTACCCTCGAGAGGCGAAAAAGAGCAAACGGCTGGTTAAATGCAAGGGTAATGCGGGCTCGAGCGCCATTAAGAATGACGGCGAAGTGAAAGGCAGGATCGAGAAAGCCCAGGCCCGGTTCAGCCCCCAAGGATCTAGGCCGTTGTCTGAGCGTTGCTTTCTCTGGGATTCCAATTCCAACAGCCCGCATGCTGCACATCACGAACCTCTCTCCAGGCGCCGCAACCGGGGTAATACAAGCGCCAAGGTCGGGCTTGAGCCGCGGGGGGAGCCAGCAAGCGGACATGGGGCCATGTGCAAGTTGAGCGGGATGTATCAATCGCCCATGCGCACCACCAAAGCCACCGGAGACGCCATGCTTTGTTCTGCTTGTCCCCGCCAACTCGCTTGGCGTAGGCGGGCATGTGAGAGGCCCGCGTGCATCACGCCGTACAAGGGAGCTATTGGCAAAGGGCCTTCACCGCTTGCACATGAGCTGAATTGCAGGTCGATGGCATAAGCCGTGGCGTGCTGGTCCATGTGTTGCGATGCGTCAACGTATCGCGGGCTGCTGGAGTCCCAATGGGGTGGATGGAGGATGGGCGATGGGTGGCGGGCAGGCGATCGACAGGGAAGAATAGCTTGGGCCACAACGGCCCAGCAAGATGCCCGCGACAAGCTACCACACACGTCGCCGCGCCAAGAGATCCTGAGCGGGCCTATTTCGACGACGGGTGCTCAGGTGATGTCCAGGTCGTGATAACATGGCTGCGGCATTTAGACGGGGGGTGGCTGGATGGATGGAGACATGTGGAGGACAAAGGACATGGTTCGTGATGCGAAACTGGTGCTGGCGCTGTAGGATCAGGCTGCGCCAAGCGAGCATGCCATCTCGTCGAGTCTTGAGGTTGACTTCCTCGCCGCACAAATGCGGCTTCAATGCCCAGCTTATGTGGATGCATTTTTACGGGACTAATGTCCAGCTACGTCATTGCCCAGTTGATCTCACATCTGATTACGGGTGAGGTCAAGAGCAAGGAAGCTATCGGCCCGCCAACCTACCACCATGCAAATGATATCGACACACTTGCCTATATCTCGATCACCGCAAGAACCTCCTGAGGTCAGCTTGACAATTACCCCATGCACATGCATTCGACGAACAATTAAACCCCAGCATCTCCTCATGTCTGCCGAGCCCAAGAAACAGCATTTCGAGCATCATACATGGATCCATAACATAAATCATTGCCATTGGAGTATTGCTTGATTCTACGACTCATGGGCTTGACGTCCTGGTATTCTAGCATCCAATCCTCTTGTCACTAACAACAATGTCATCATACCAGAATGTGTTGGTATCACCACCGTAGCTCTCCCATCCAAAGTACACCTACGCTTGATCGTCAGCAAAAAAAATCGTTCTCCATTCAAAATAGACTTTGACCAACTCACCCCGGTAATCTTCGGCTTGATGGTACTCCTGGACCACTGCGCTCCATTGGGGTTCGATGCTCCATTACCCACGTTCAACCCAGAAATGGTGCTGTTGTTCAACCATGTCTGGATGCTGCCGTCGGTGCCAAGATGGTACTCGAAGCATGTCCATTGGTTGGTGGGCAGCGGCTTGGATGACGCAATGCCGTTTGGCGACAAATCAGGTAGCGTGGCATCATCGGTCTCGCGGTTGTACATGAGAATCTTGGATTGTCCGCCAATGCGCAGGTGCTTGTTTGTGCCTTGGGCCGAGTCTGGCATTGTGATAAAGGTCACGTGAGAGTCAGTCAAAGCCTTGCTTGCTTTCCTGCATACAAGGGTTAGCATATGGATTTGAAAGAGAAAAAAAGGCAAAGATACTTACAGGTAAGTCCTGACGTAGACATCTCCCGATGGAATCTTCGTTGTGCCGACAAAGATGTGGCCGCAGTAGCCTCCCGCACCGTCGACACGGATCGAGTTCTTGCCAGTATGGGCTGTTGTCGTATCCAGGGTGACTTTGCCACCTTGGTTGCAGTCTGCCGCATACGAGGGCCATGCAGTCTGGTCCCATCCGTTCTCGAAACCCTCGCTCACCTGGGCAATCGCTGGGGCCGCGAGGGCGAGAGCAAAGAGGGCAGTTTGGCGAAGCATTGTTTATTTTCTGTGATGGAGGGTTGCCTTTGATGTGACTGCAAGACTGTGGTGAGGTTAGAGGTGCAGCCAGACTGGTAGTTATATATGCTTCTTGGAAGCATACTCCTAAGCTTTGCCTTCCGCAGCCAAAATGGCATGGTCGGATGCTTATTCCGTGCTTGTTTCCATGAAATTAATTTGACTGGACGGTCCAGCGTTTCCGCCTTGTTAAAGTGTCGTTGTATGCTACTCTGTATTGGGTTTGCGCTCGGGACGTTGTGCCATTTAGATTACATGCAAATTTAGCTTGGCACTTGTGTATATTAATCGCATAGCTTATGGGGAAACCCATCGGCATGACTCTCCTTGGAGATTGATTCTTGCCGCCGAATGCAGATTGCAGCCAATCCGTGCATGATGGGTCTTCACAGTAGCAATTGATTAGGCCCGTCACATCCGTCACCATTGTCAAGTATACTTTCAAATCCTCTCGATTCAATAACAGCCTGTAGGCTGGGTTCTATAGCAACAATAAAGCAACCCGCAATGCAGTCAAGCCATCGCTACAAAAGCCAAAGAAAAAACCTGCTGACGTGAGCCGCTGAGAATAAAAGTCGCCGCTGAGCGCGGCGAATGAGACAATAACAGACTGATTTTTCTAACCAAAACAGTAAATGACAAGGGGAAAGTGAGAGTATGTATGCATATCCACCAAAGGCGTATTACATGTTGTACGGGACCAGCCTTTTAGGAAGAAAAAGACTACTGAGGAAGGAGACGGTGGATATGGGTATAAAAATCATGGTATGCGCCGGGGTACAGCAAATTGCACATCGCTCTCTTACTTGCCGCCGCCGGAAGTCGACTTGTTGACTTGTGTGACTACGACAGCAATAACAACGATGATGATAATGATGATGAGCACAATGAGGACACACCACCACTTCTTGCGGTTGCGGGCGCGAGCCTTGTCGATGGCACCGTCAATCTCGACATTGGCGGCCTTGACGTTATCATTGATCTCTTCGCCCTTTTGTTCGATGTTGGCGACAAGTGGTTCTTGCTCCTGGACAATTTGGTCGAGGTCTTGGAACAGCTGGGCGAGCTCAACCATTTGACGTTCTATGTTTTGAATGGCCTCGTGTCGCTCCTTGACGTTGCGGAGAGTAGACGAGGCTTGGCCACGGCGGTCGGAGTTCATGAGCTGGGAAACGTCAGTATTGGGTGACAGGCAGGGGAGGTACAGAAACATACAGCCTGCTGGAAGATGGGCGCATCAGGGTCTGAAACAGCCTCGCGAACCTCTTCCTCGGTAGCATCTGGGCGCACAATGCGGTACTGACGCTCAGCAGCCGCCTGCGATTCCCTTCGGAAGTCTGACTCGAGTGTCTGATACCTGTTGATGGTGGCCTTGAGCCTGCGGTCGACCTTGCCAACTTGAGGGGCGTTCCTGGGGTGACCCGAATCAGGTTTCGACTTGATGTTTTTGACGCGAGTGACAAGTGCGCGGTAGCCCGTCATGATCTGAGAGCTAAGGTTGTTGATCTCGCCAGAGGGCATGTCTGGGCGGGCCAGCGATTGTCTGAAGACGCGATCGAGGTTGTTGAGCTGGCCATCGAGGTCGTCGAGGGCGCGGTCGACTTCACGGCACTCATTGAGAATGGCGTTGGGGTCAGCGCCAGCACCAGGGTAAGATTGCATCTCTACATCGCCTGTGTGACATTAGACGAAAGGGCCATGGACTCGATTCAGCGATACATACGATCGTAGTTGTCGTAGCCGGCACTCTGGTCGCGCGCATCGTAGGGGTTGCCTCCAGCGGAGCCAATCTGGCCGTAGCCTCTGTTTCCGTACTGTTGGTCGGCAGCAGCCATGGTCAGTAAAGAGAATGTGGAGTTTAGAGTTTGGGCGGAGTGAGGAGTGTTGCAGAAGAGAGTGAGATGGAGCGCACGGTATGGGTAGAGCTAGAGGGAACTTACGCTCATTCTGAAACGGGACGGGTGTGGTGTGGGTGGACGTGGGAGACTCCTGAGACGGCCAAGTGCAGACGCGCAAAGCAAAGCTCACACGGCAGTGGGACGGGCTGGTGGCTAAGAGGAGACGGCGGGAAGTGTCAAACGCGCGCAGGCTCGAATCAGTCGTCGACAAAGGCTTGAGGCAGAAGATAAATGCGTTTCAGGGCCGCGAATGTTTTCTGGGGCTGAGCGTGAAGGGTGGATAGGGCAGATGCAGGAGGCGCTCACGCTAACCGCTTTGGGCCAGGCATTCCACCAGTCAGCTGCAAATTGGCGGCGCCTCTCTGACGGTTGGCCCGCCTTGTCCCTCTAAAATTGGCTTGTGCTGCAGCTCACCGCACATGTGTGGCCCAACTGGCCTTTGCCTGCCTTTGTCGCTCCAAACAACCGCAGTCTCCGCATATTACACATCTCTGGCGATATATCTAGACTGTACATGTCTGTGTACACGCCCGGCTTGGCCTCTCGCCACCTCGCTCCGCCCCGCCACTGCTGTCGACCTGGATAGAGCCAAGAGCTTACGCAGCTACGCAGCCGTGGCTGGCCTCGTATGCCTATTCAGGGTCTACTCCACGTACTAGTAGACTCAGCCTTGCGCCCGCAGCTCAGCTTGCCACCATGTACGTACACACGTACATACAACTGCGGTACGCTACCTTCCCGCGTCATGACTACTGCAAGCTAGTACTCAAAGCACTCTCTGCCGCCTGTTGGCACATACGACGGATTATGTAGGCGTGCGGCAGACATTCCAACTAGGTGTCATGGGTATATATACATATTTTGATGCTATCCCAGAATTCACTAGTCTGGATTTATAAGCGGCTCACTACGAAAAGTACGCTTACTTTTCACTCGTCTTTTTTAGGTAGTCCGGAATGGACCATCAGTGCTCTAAAAATTATAAAGCCATATAACTCTTCCATAGGCGGCTCGTCCACACCGCTTTGCTCAGTAAAGACGCTTTCACTAGTTGCAGATAGGGTTCCGCCCAGAACAAAGGACACTTGTACATGAGCCAATTAGAACATGCGACAATTCCGTGCTACATTAGAAAACTAAACAACTGGATTGATCAATCCCATCGACACTAGCACACCGGTGTTTATACTCTTCCACTGTCGCACTGAACTTGGTAACTCTCTAGAACACATGCTGTCTTGGAAATAATATCCATTTTGTGGCAACACAGGTTTGACTAGAGTTGAGAAGTGCGCTCTTGGTAAGCACTGGAACAAGTTTGTCCAACCAAATCTTAGGGCACATAATCACAGTATTATTTTCCATATCTAAACATCGAAGAAAGTAAACTCTGAAGAAGTAGTACGGTTGAATATATATGCCCAAAAGCAGCCGCTAATAAAGTAAATAGTCCACTGTGCAACCCTCGGGTATTTCTCACTGATCACTCGTGCATTTGAGTCTACATGTTGATGTTGGTATAAAAGCAAAGTATAGGACAAAACAATCCCGCATCCATCTCTTTCCTAAAACGTACATCCACAGCTTACGTCATGGCTCCCAGTTTAGTCAGATACACAAAAAGAACTACCAAAAACGAAAAACGTCAATGCATGATGTCAGCCGTGCGTCTTCTAATCCCAGCTAGTCTAAGTAAACGCCGTAGGTATACAGTACGTGCTCCTAGCTCGGATCCGTTGACCCCGGAACCAAAGAATAGCAATAACCGCCAAGCCCACAACCGTGAACGCCGCAGCCAGTACTGCCGCAGCCAGCCCAAACCCCAGACGATCAAACATGTATGGTGCAAAAAAAGCGGGAAAAAAAGCCGCCGCGCAACTTCGCGTGAGCAGAGCTGTCGAGAAAGCCTAAGCAGAGTACTTAACCTATGTGTCGATCAAAAAGAGAGAAACACAACTAGTGTAAACATAGCATCCAGTGGTTAAAACAGAGCAGCCAACATTCGGTACTATGATCCAATGCATCTTCGCCTAGCCTGACCATCCCCACCAGACCAGCCCAACAGGCACAAGAAGCGTACCTGCAGTCATAGCCGGAACACGAGATTCAGGTTTCCTTACACCACCGTTGCGAGCTTTGAGTTTGGTGTAGATTCAGTCGGTGAGGCGCCCCGTGACATTGACACCGACTATATGGTCTATTGCGGCGGAAATGTAGTTCAGACTTCCGACTAGAACGCTTTGGTGATATAGTTCGTCCCACATGAGAAGATACATGTAGAGGAAGAGAGACATGGTTCCGTACAAGAGGCTGACGTAGTTTGCCAGAAGCTGGACGATAGGCTGTGTGCCAAGCGCACGGAACGGTCTTTGAAGGTTATCTCTCAAGATGTCCAAAAAAGCGACACTCTTTTCCGTACCCAAGGGCTGTTAGGACTGGAATTTCCTGTCAAAAGCCTGACTTGTCTGTAGCTCATACGTCTCCTTGGAAAGAAACGGAAACGCTACAACCATGCCCACGTCCGTAGCTATCGACGTCGTCCAAAAAAACCTACTTCCAATTCGCACCTTCAGAAATGAAAGCCCCGAAGATAGGACCCAGAGCAGGGCCGAGAGGCGGTGCAGCCATGTATACTGCAAATGCTCTCCCCCTTTCTCTCTTCCGCACACCAAAGATCACTCAGCAAGCCACCCGCAATAGCATCCGCAACACACACTGCAAACCCCGACAGAAGCCGGAACACGAGAAAAGACCCTTTTTTGGACCAGTGAGGGAGTTTGGATTAATGAGATTGGGGATAAGCTTTTCAGACGCACTTGCTCGGCGCGAGAGACGACTTGTGTTTTTTTTGGGTCGATTCAGTAGACTTAGAGCTAATAAACTTAACAGACAAATATCATGCTCCAAAGCGTCTATTCTGGCACAGCGCTAGTCCAAAGAAGTATCGTTTCACTCGGTTCTCATTGTAGCAATAAGGCGAGTGATAATAACTGTATTAGAGCTACAACCATCCTTTCCGCTGGTCTTCCTAGGCGAAAAACGGTCCATTGCTGCTCATTCCTGCGCCGCTTGATTCATAGGACCTCACGTGGCGGAGTTTCTACGAAGCATCCCCCGGCCTTTGGTACTGATATAGCCCAAACAAGCTAATTCCTGCATGTGCATTCGCACTGGCGCTTCTTGCAGTGACCACATACGGAGCACTAATATCGTTAGTTGTGAGAGCCAGGGTTCCGTTTCCTTTGGAATACCTTGACAGATGTGGCGCAAGCATCGACCGGCCCAGTAAAAATTGTTTCCGACATGCTGGCCATGATGAGGTGAAAGCGAGTTTAATAGACTTAAATCGAGAGGACGAGAATCGAGGCTGGTTAGGGTGATAGACTTGGAATAGAATGATGTTTGTTGGGTCTCACGACATTATATATCCACGCCAACACCAGTCTCATGCCATGACTCCTCGGACCTACCTGCAACCTCGATAAGCATTCAGTCGCCTACTGATGTAATTATGCACTGGAGATTGAATTTTGCGCCCAAAACGGAACCTAGGCTTTCACTTGCCAATAGACGATCTCTTACTATATTGATTGCTATTCAGCCTTGTGATTGTGTTACCAAATGTATTGGGGGCGTAAGTAGTGTCTAGATGGTTGGATGATCATGCAGGAAGGCTGAACTCAAAATCCTATTTACTAGACTAATTCCTTTAGCGAATGCACGATGAGTAGTAACGCCTGAATGCAGACATTTGCAGTATGTCTTGCGAGTGTTTCACAAAACGTAAAGTCTACGTGCTCCTGGCTAATTGCGATCTTTCCTCAAAGTCTTTCTCTATAAACAACTAAATTGCTAATTTACCCAATACTACTCATTGTATCCCTACTTCGCACTCCCCCATCGTGTCCGCTCATCACCGCCCACCCACGACTTCTCTTGGTATCCAAGACGCCGCTTGACCTCATCCACCGTTGCCTGATCTCCCGTATTCTTACCGATATTGTCGCTAATCTTCACAGCATGCCGGCCCTGTGCAGAGGCAATCTTGATAACAATATTTAGGGGTACAGACTTCTTGCCCGTAGATGTTTCGACAAAATCATCTGTTCTAGTTAGTCATGTGTCCAGCTTTCCACGGCTCCCTGGATACGTACTCGTCAAGAATGTGCCTACGCCAAAAGTTGGCTGGAATCCTTGCTCCTCTGCTGCGGCCTTGTACTTGAAGCAGAGTTCGAGGTTGAGAGAGTCGGAAAAGACAATCGTCTTCTTGTCTTTGATACCCTCTTTGTCGTAAAATTCACGCATCAGCTTGATGAATTCAAGAGGATCGCCAGAGTCTTGGCGCACACCGTTGAACACTTGAGCAAACGTCTTCTCCGAGGCCGCATCTCCATCTTTTGGTGCCTGGATAGGTGGGTTTGTCGAAGCCAAGGTTTCCACCGCATCGCTTATTGTTGTGTTCGCTGATGACGCCAATGTTGTGCTGCCTCCAGGCACAGCCGTTGTAATGCGAGGAATGTGCTTCTTGAAGGCCCTCAGGAACGCTGGTGTACCAAACGTGTCTGTGAGCGCAATGCTCAATACACCAGCCCCGAAAGTGGCAGTCCAATACTCAAGAGCAATCTCGTTTGCATTTTCGTAGTTGTTTGTGATGGCCGCCACGCCCATGAACCACTCGTGCGCAACAGTGCCGACGGGGACGAGCCCGTGTTTCATGGCAAAGTGGACATTGCTGGTCCCCGACAGTTTTCCCTTCCACCCTAATTTGGCACCCTCATCAGCTGCCCGGCGCAAACCCTGCAGTACCAAGTCTTGGGTATGGTAATCTCGCCGCCTCCTCGAGCCAAACTCTGAAAAGATGCAGCCTCCTTCTAGTAGCGCCTTCCCCTTCTGGTATGCCTTCTCGACTTGGCCCTCGTGGTTCCAGTCTGTTTCGACAAACTTGAAGTATGCCTCGCTCACAAGCGCCAATAGCGGAATCTCGTACAGGATCGTATCGAGCCATAGACCCTCGGTGTGTATGTGAAAATCGCCGCGATCACTGTCTGATCCTGTGTCATTCACGGGGGTAAAGGATAGTCTAAGCTGTTTCGAGGGCTTGAGGCGAAAGGTAGAGAGAAAGTGCAGGTATTGCGCGTTTAGGTAGGGACAGCTATCTTTCAAAAATTTGAGCTCTTCGTCGGAAACGGACACATTCTCGAGTTCTACAAGGGATTAGCACGCGCATGGCCGTGGAAGCACCTATACAAACTATCTACTTGGGCCTGCAGCCACTTGAAGGCTGCACGGCTGAGTTTCTTGTCTGGCGTGCGGTTGGTGAAACCATATGTGACTGCGACATCAGGGAAGAACTTCAATATGCAACATTGCATAGTCAACTTGTACAGGTCCGTGTCCAAGAGGGAGAAGATGCCCTCGGGCAGGGTTGCTGGTTCGGCCGCCATTGAGTTGCGCCGGGATCAGAGCCTCAGGGTGAATTGCAGCGTCCGGTCGCGGCTTCCGATAGCAGTCAATGGAGGGGTGGTGGGGCAGGCGCGGGTTTCTATGTAGAACAGCAGAGTAGCGCGTTGGGTGGGTCAGATAATTGCAGACATGTAGTCGGAATGGCGAGAAGCAAGAGGCGAGAGAGTGTTATGTAGTTTCCCGGTGCGATCGCCTTCACTGTGCCCACAGAAAAAAAGTTACTTTCTCTTTGACATGATTGCACCGATTGCTGTCATCATGCGGCGCGTGAAGTCACCGGCGGTTAGCGCAGTCTCGTTCAGCCCTACAAACCCTGAATGCGCATTAAGCCTCGGCGCTGGCTCTCTTCTTCCTAATCCTCCGGGGCCGAGTCACCCCTTCGTTCGTTACATCAAAGACATGTTCGTTGCCCTCTCTATCTTTGCCCTGTCGCTTTCTTTCCTTGTTTACCAGCGCCCACCCTCGACATGGCTTGCCTTTATCACTCGCCTCAGCCGACCAGGAACGAGCACGATACCCGATAAGTCGCAGAATGGCAACAAAGAAGGCCCCACCCCGGCCAGGGAGGAGCGCATAGAGCTCAAGTCTCCCTCGAACCATGAGGCAGTTGATGGGGTTGACAAAAGTCCATCGCTCGAGTCTACACCAAAAGCTATGCCGAAATCAGACGATAATGCACCTGCGGTGCCCTCCTTCACGCTCAACGAGCACGACAGTTCGGATGAAGACGAGGAAGACAATCTGCCGCCGCCTTCATTTCCAGCCATGAACTCGGCACAAAGAGCCTCTCAAGCGCCTCCTCAATTTGCCATGCCTCCACCGCCAAAGCCGTCCCTCATGCCGCCACCTCCCAAACCCACTACGTCTCTCATGCCGCCACCCAAAGTCGCAGCCTCGAGCCTACGTCCCCTCCCCAGCTCCACGTCCTCACAATCTATGCGCGTACCCACCACCGGCCCTCTTCCGAACCGCGGACCGCTTCCGAATCGAGGCCCGCCCACCTCAAACGGAGGTCTCGGAGTCCCACCAAGCGCAGGCCCCGCCATCAAGACACCAAACGCACGGGGCAAAGTGCTCCTGTCGCCAGGCCACTCGCCGCTCGACTGGGCCCACCTACAGAAATCCGGCAAAAACCTGTCTGGCGTCGACTCCATGATTCGCGTTACACCGGCCATGCTGAAGGAGAAGAATGGGCGCAAGGGCAGAGATGCGTGGTCGAGCTATCAGGGAAAAGTGTACAATATCTCGCCCTACCTACCGTTTCATCCCGGTGGAGAAGGCGAGCTCCGTCGTGCGGCGGGCAAAGACGGGACCAAGTTGTTCATGGAGGTGCATCCGTGGGTTAACTGGGAGAATATGCTTGGCGAGTGCATGGTAGGTATTATGGTTAGCGAGGAGCAGGTTCCTAAGGTAGTAGAGGGTGATCTAGAGGATATGGACTGACATGTGTGTGATACCCCCCTTTTTGTAGATGGTATGCATTGCGTGGAGTTTTGTGGGTTCTCACAGGGGTAAAGAGTATAGCAAGACTAACTTGTTGGTTAAAACCCCAAGTTTTCTTTCTTTCTTCAATTTGAGTTGATAAACGCAGTAGTAGTTCTATCAAGCCATGTTCAAGAAGATGAGAAAGACATACAATCGTGTGGTAATACAGAAACAAAGTGTACATATGTAACATATTTACATGTGAAAAAAAAAGGGGGGGTACACAGATCCAAAACGAATCCAGCCCCCCCCATTCTGGTATATAGATAAAAAAAAAGGAGAAACAAGATGAGAAGAAAATCATTAACAAAAGAACAAAACGCTATGGACTTCTCGGCGAAGACATGGGCGAAGACGCATACCACGGCTCTCTCTCCTCCCTCCACGCATTCCCCGCAAACCCACCCCCAGCATATCGCGCCTCCTCCCTCGCCATGTCGCTCTCCGCACTACCCCTACCAACATCCATAACCTTATCCCTCAGCTCATCCCTCCAAATCAGCTTCCCCTCGCTCGCGCCACTATCCCTAGGCTGCGCAGTCCCCTGCCCGGGCCTTACAAACGCGCTATTCGCAAAATCGCGCTCGACGACTCTTTCCTCCTTATCCACCATCTCGGTGACGCCGCGGCCGTTTGCATGAACGAGGATACTAGTTTTGTTGAGCGAGTGCTTGACTGGTTTCTTAGCGTTGAAGATGTCGCTGATTTCCTCGAGGGTGCGGCGCCGAGTTTCGACGAAGAAGAAGTAGATGAAGATGAATTCGAAAATGTCCCAGAAGATAAAGAGGAGGTAGTACTGTTTTGACGTATGTTAGTAAAACGGCACAAAAATGAGTATCTTGGAGGGGATATAGGAAAGGGGAAGGGAAGAGAGAGAGAGAAACATACCTTCCAACCCGCCCCTGAAAACGCAATCCCAGTCACAAACGTATTGTAGAAATTCGCAATGTTAACCCAAAAGTTATAAAACGCCATGCCCTTTGCGCGAGACTCGTACCGCAGACACTCTACAGGGTACAATTGCTGCAACGGCGTGTAGCCAACACTATACACGAACCCACATATGAAGACAAACGCAATAACCGCCTTGGCCTGACCAGGTCTCTTGATCTCAGGCGTCCGGTTATTCCCTAGGTAAACCGGCTGCCCATCCGGCCCCGTCTTCAAATTCGTTGCAACAAGCGCACACACAATGGCGAAGATGAAGACGAGCATCGCCGTCGAAACAAGCAACTGGGGTCTTCTACCCCAGGAATCCGTGTAGATGGCGCCGAAAATGGCGCCGCTGAAGGAAACGACGTTTTGCATGCCGTTGTAGAGGAGACGGGTGTGATTGTTGTTTATACCAGCGCCTTGCAGCATGGTAGGGTAGTAGTAGGAGACGGGCCCGTTGCCGGACCACTGGCCGAAGAAGGCCATGGCGAGAACGAGCATGGTTCTGTAGCGGGCCTCGCGCGAGTTGAAGAGTTCGCGGTAGTCCCACCAGCGCTTGTCGGAGCCCGTGACGCTGATGTCTTCGACCATTTCTTTGTATTCGAGCTTGACGATGGGCGAGTCGCGGTCGCCTTCGCCATGCAGGCGTGCCATCGTGTTTAGGGCTTCCTCGTGCCGGTCATTGGCGATGAGCCAGCGGGGGGTTTCCGGCAGGAATGGTGAGCAGCAGAAGACGATGCCCGCGAAGATGAGTTGGAGCCACACGGGGATGCGCCAGGATTGCGTGCCGGGGATGTTGCTTGTGCCGTAGGGAACGAAGGATCCGGGGATACCACCGACGTACCAGAATGTGTTGAAGATGCCGGTGCAGACGCCGCGGTAGGAAGGATGGGCCATTTCAGATACATAAGCTGGGCCGGCAGTCGATGTTATGGCGACACCGAAGCCCAGAATAAAACGACCACCCATGAAGCCACCGAGGTTAACGCACGTTGCTTGAATACAGGCACCAACAATGATAATCGAAGTGCCAATAAACATCCCCCATTTTCGTCCTCGGAAATCTGTAGCTGGACCGGCTACAAACGAGCCGACAAGGTTACCAATTGTATAAATGGCATAGACGATTCCAGTAGTCGGCGTCCCCTCATCGATGTCGAAGCCAAAATACGACCGGTACTGGTGATAGCTGTTGATTGCGCCCATGAGCGATCCATCGTAGCCATTGATGCAAGAGTTGAGTGTGGCGATAAAGAGGCAAAAGTACAACTAATGCCGTAAGTTAGCGAAGGCAAGTTACAATACAAAATAGAAAAGACTAGCTTTGTGTCAAAAAAAAAACCGACCTTGAACATAGCCTTTGTCCACGGCCTAACATTAGCCTTTGCCGTAGCATCGGCAAAAGCAACGTTCTGAACCTGCCGAATCTCCACGGTGCTACTACTACGCTCCGTATGCGAAGTATGCACATCCCGCTTGTGAATATGCTCCATGTTGCCCGACTACTAATCCCACAGCGGGGTCAGCACCGGGTGGAGAAGAGAAAAACCGAGAGAATGTAATTGTCGGAGCAAAAAAAAGGTGTGGCATACACAGAGAGAGAAGGGAAAGTGAAAGCCCGCCTCGTTGGTGATGGTGTGCCCCGAGGAAACAGTTAGAGACGGGCGTGGGCATCGGCCTGCACATCAATCCTGCCAACTGACCTTACCCCCTCCCAGCACCATAAAACAAGCCAGGAACACGCGCGGAGAAAAAAAGTGGCTGCGGCGTGGGTGGCTAACTAAAGTGGAGTTTTGCATACTACGGCAAGGCGGCGGAGGGAATGGAGGGGTCAATTTAATTTAATCAAGCCCCCATGTCCAAGACTTTCGAAGATGTGCTTTGCCAGCGGACCCCCCATGAAGGAAAGAAAAAAGCCAATCCACTCACTGAGACATGTAAGATTTCCAGGCAGGGCGGGAACTGGGTAATAGCAGCTTGGTCGTACAGCGCAAGGGGGCAGATTGGTTGGGTTTCCGCGGGGCTGGGCCCGCATGATGACCGGGTATTTGTACAGATGCAGCGTCGCTTCGAGGTGACCCGTAGGCGCAGAGCGACTGTGATTGGGTGTTTCGTGGGTAAATGAGGAACGGGCAACAACAAGTGGATTGGGGATGGATGCTGCTGCTGCTGACGATGATGGTGCGTGTGAACAGGAGGCGAAGGAGGCCCGTCAAGCCCTGGCTGCCCGTTGGGAAGGAAAGAAAGCCCGGTTTCTGACTGCACAGGGCGAAAAGCGTTGGTGGAGATGGAGGGCGTCTCGTGTTGGTGGAGGGTCTAGTATGGCAGGAAGGCCAAATGTCCACCACAGTCACTCAACCACATAGGCGACCGTGATCCAGGGCCGCCTGGCGTTTGACGCCGCAATCCTTCGTTGCTTCCAACCCTTGCCATATGCTCGACTCGGCACGCTCGTCCGCGCGCTTTCGTCAGCCCCTTGAGATTCGCGAAGGTCGCCTGCATGGGACGTACATAGATAGATATTTGGGAGACGGCAGCCGGAGAGCATGGCGCATATCCGATTGCGCGATGCAAGAGTGCCGCCACTCGTTATGGGGAAAACATGGGTTTCTAACGTAGAAGATTGCGTCAAGCCGTATCCGGCTCTAGTCCCGAGCTAGCGGTCCGAGGAATCCGGGGAAGCTAAACCCATGTAAGTACTCTCGTATACACTCCATACACACATGTATGCTATTCGTATTCAGAATCTCTGTTGCACACAATCTTACTCGGCGCCCACGAGCGAATACCTTGCTTCTGTGACGAAATCGCATCTGTATCTACTTGATGCATGTGCAACTGCCGCTTCATGCCCGTATCCACTCCCGTTGCCACCGTGCCTACAGTACGAATATATGCATATTGGTGCCCCACCATAGCGGTCAAGTTTATACCCCCGGTCGTACCAGTAGACACGCCCAAGATGCTGAAGATCTGCTTGCCGTGTGGTCACCTGTACCTACTGCACTTTGCGCCGAATTACACCATCCAGGATCTCGGGTTAATTCTAGAAGCCACTAGTCCTGCCAGCCTGCATACCATTATGAACATGAGACACGTCGAACCACACACGCACACCAGACTTAGATAGAACAACCTTGTGGCTATTATACATGTATCCTGCGTCTAAACTACGGGGCTTTGGGGAAAGGTGACTCTACAAGCCTCCCTGCAGCCCCTCATGAATACAAACCCTGCTCTCCTCCAATCCAATCCACTACAGCAATAAGCGCCCATCTTCTACAAACACGCTACTCGTCTATCCTTGCCCTAACCGCCTACTCATCATCATCTGGGTTAGTGTCCGATTCATAGACAAACTCGCTCGGAGTTGATGCCTCCGCCTCTCCCTCGTAGACCATGTTGTCATTGACCGGCGCTGCAGCTGTTGTTACTGATACGCCTTCTGGTGCTTGTTCGCCAGAGGATCCTGATGCTCCAGGGGCAGGGGCAGGTACAGCCTTCTTTACCTTGAGCTCAAGGAGCGTCTTCGGTTCCGAAGGCTTGGTGTCTGTAAGAAGAATCACACCAAGAGTTGGCTGCTCATGTGTTAGCTTGGCTACTTGATCGAGTATGGCATGTACGCCACTCACCTTCTTTACTGGTACATATCGCTCGCTTGGGAAGCTAATGTACTTGATTTGTGGCGGCAGCACACGCGACATGTTCTCCAGCTCGTAGCCCACCTTTTCCTTTTCTGCCTTCTTCTTCGACAATGCCTCTACAGCCTGTGCTCCCTCGGCCTTGTCTCCGTCTTCCTTCTTCGAGTCCTCATCAACGTCCATCTTGTCATCGTCGCCCGATGGCTTTGGTGTGGCAGGAGTATGGTCGACATCCATACTCTCTCTTCGCTTTTGGCGCTCCTTGACCATCCGCCGTCGCTTGTCTTGGGCTGTCGTCGACAAGACTGCTGTCTTGATTTTCTCTGGCGCCTCCTCTGCCTTGACCTCAGCATCAGGCGGGTAGTCAAACATGCTCGGCCGTGTGTTGCTGTGGAACTTGAACGATGGGATCTCAAGCTCCTGGTCCAGGCCAATGACAGCAGTAGGCGTGAAGCTGAGAGACAAGAAGTGGGTCAAAGGGAACCAGTACCAGTACTGAGTGAACACAGCCATACCAACGATGGCAGTCATGTTCAGGTTACCTGTCGGCGTCTGCAGGCCGATTGTGCAGTTTCGGCCTCCAGCATCAATGATACCGAGAGCAAGAGCGCAGCCGAACTTGGCCATGGCGTCTTCATGACGGTCCCCGATGACCTTGGCCAACTGCTTGCGGATTGATGCTACCTTCGGGTTCATGGCCTCGTTTTGCTGCACCATGATCATGGACAGCGAGATCAAAGCACCTTGGCGAACGAAGTCGGTAGAGTCCTTCATCATAGGCTCGAGCAAATCAACCGCCTCAGGGAGTCCAGTTCCGGCACAAGCGATACCGAGAGCCATTGTCGCTCCATAACGGACATGGGGGTTGTACGACTCGGCAAGGAGTTCAACCATGCGAGGAACGCTACCTGGCTTCCGGAACAAGATGAAGCCCAAGCTCATGACTGCCACGCGTCGTACATCGTCGCTCACATCACTGACCGCAACGTGCAACAGCCTTCGGACAGCCTTGTTGCTACCCGTACCGCAGTATGCCAACGCTATTGTCATGATTCCTCCGTAGCGTAGAGTTGGGTCTGGGTCGTCTAGGAGACCGTTGATGAGTTCATCGGCGGCCTCTTGTCGGCCATACATGATGAGTGCCATACCCATGGCCAACCCTCGAACAATCTTCTCGTGCTGTGTGTCGTGTGCATACTGGATCATGTCCTCAAGTGCCTTGATGTTGCCTGTGCCAAGCATGACAAGACCCATGGAGAGACCGACTGCCTCACCGTTGATGGCGGAATCGGTGTACAGTACGTTCTTGAACGCTTCAAAAATTTCCTCAGAGCCCGTGGCCATGCCTGTGACACCAAGACCGAGCGCACCACCGTGCTGAATGACTTCTTCAGACGCATTCTGGAATTGCTTCAGGAGCAAGTCAAGAACATTGCTTCCGTGGTTGGCGTAAATCAAACCAAGAGCGTACAATGATCCACCTTGCTCGTAGTGAGAACCTGAAGAAACACTGTCCTTGGGTAGGTATGGTTCGAGGAGTTTCTGTCCTTGAGTAATGTTGCCACGGTGGATGACACCTAAAGCAGCGGTCGCCGAGAACTTTGACCAATTGACTGCCTTTCCTAGCCATTCCAAGTTCTCGCGGAAGAATGTGTCGTTGGTGGTGCCTGCATTCATGAAAGCGTTTGCAAAGGTGACACTAGAGTGGAAAATGGAGTTCCTGGCCTCCAGGCTGTCGCGAACCTTGTTCAGGATAGCCTTGTCTGTACGGTTGTTCCTGTACAGGAACTCGAGGTTTAGTTCGATGCTCTTTGTTCCCCGAAGGATATGGCGGACAGAGTTGAAAGACTTGAGCTGGTCCTCGGTCGATTCAGAGTCTTTGGAGCCCGAGACATTGCTGGTGTCGGCATTTGCGAGTAGAGAGTCTGATTCACCTGCTTCCGTCGATTGGGGCTTCTGGGTCTCTTCCTCTTTTTCGGCAGGGAGTTCTTCCATGACCTTGCTCAAAAACTCTTGTGTGCCGTTCTCGTAAAGGTCGAAGGAAATCTGGTATGCGACAGCTCGTGACTTGTCGTCGCCGCGCTCGATGAGCTGGCGAATGAGTTTCGAAGCAAGGGCATGCTGGTTGAGGTAGACAACGCATTTGGCAATAGAGAAATAATCAGGGTTCGGTATCTGGTCGTCGTTGAGAAGATCCAGAATCATGCGAAGAATCTCGTTTCTCAGACCACGCTCTTGTACCACGTTCATGCAAATATCGAGAACATATTCCATCAGATCCTCGCTCTGCGCAGACGGCTGTGCGGGCTTCTTTCCCTGCTTCTTCCCCTCTTGGCTTGCGCGCACAATAGCTTCGCGCAGGACCTCAAGATTCCGAGCCTCAATGGCGATCCCGACAACCTGCTTATAGTTGCCGCTCTCGTAGCAGCTCTCGAATATCCTCCTTACAGTGCTGTGGAGGTTCTTCTGCACGTTTCGCTGCAGCACCATCGGAGTAGGGTGTGCTCCAGGGACGCCAGCATTGCCCCCACCGGGGACAGTGGGGTCAAATGTAGACGAGTCCTCCCTGGAAAGGAGCGACTTTGATGGTAACGCAGACTGGGAGAAAGGTGTTATCGGCGATGCCAGGCTAGCTGAAGTACTGGCACCGCCAGCAGCGCTTCCCGAAAATGACGTGCTCAGCTGTGGAGGGGCCTGGCTTGCCTTACTCACAGGTGTCGGCGGGTTGTGCATGACTGAGAGCGCGATGTACGTATCCAAGCATTTCGCTACAAAAAGCAAGTCAGAATATGCTCTCCAAATGATGACGAGTTCAATGCCTCAACAAGAAAGGACAGGATGTAAATGTGAATATAGGCACAAAAGGAATGCGGTATCCCTACCTAGTATTGTCTCCTCGAACTCGGCAGCCTTGTGGATGTCGAAGAGCTTGCCCGCACCCAGCGCGAAGACCATGCTCTCATTGTACTCTTGCAGCTGGTAGTATACCTTTGCCGCTACCAGGGCCGCAAGCTCGCGCTCGGGAAACGACTCATCTTCGTAGAGGGCCTCACTATGACGGCATCCATATTAGTGGCTGTACGATAACGGAATTACCCGAGTAATGTATGCAGTGCGTAGCTGAGCTTCTTACATTTGACTGACGGAGCCCGCGACTTCTGGCCATAGCAAGTCGATCTCCTCGTTCAGCCGCTGGAGGGCGAATGAGCGCAGGGCTGGGTCCGGTTCGGAGAGGAAGCCAACAACGCCGGCGGCAGATGTAAGGCCGACCATTGTGTTGTGCTGAGCGAGGACAATACGTGTTTCGGTGTTGTGAAACGGTTGCCCGCGGTGTTGGGGAGAGAGGGAGCTGTTGCGGAAATGGGTAGAAGGCGATGGAGCTGCGCAGTGGCGCCTGCGGGCTTGCCTGCGATCAAAGGACACGGGGGGACCGTGATGCTTCGGACTTGAGCGTGGCCGTTGCAGTGAATGAGGGACAAAGATGTGAGATTGAGGAGAGATTGATGGGGATGGCGAGGCGCCGTGGTGGTGAGTTCGGGGAACCGTGTACGTGATGGTCTAAACACAGCTCGTGAGTCTCGGAAGCGGCGACCCTGGTCCACTTCAACATGACATAATACGCTAGCCTGCACATCACTCCCACGATAAGATCCATGGCGTGCGCCTCACTTGCGATGTGTGACTCTGCATAGAAAAGGAGTTTGTGTGACCATTAGGACTACCGTTTTCTTTTTGCAAGTATTGCAAAACTGGCACGGCTGGCATAGCTAGTAAAGCTACATCCTTGCCCCTGAATATTTAGTCACACTCACAGAGTGAAAGAGCAAGTAGAAGCTATATTATGCGATGTAAATAGTGAGAATCGGGTATCTTATTTTGGAAACACAAACTCCAGAGGATGCTGATCCCAAATTTGCTGTATCGCGTTGAACCTTCCAAACGCCGTATACGAACAACAATAGTATTACAGTACAGCCATACAACTCGTCCATGCCCCTATGCACTAGGACCAGGACCAGGACCAGAAACCGTAATCTCACGCGACAACACCCGCAGGTTGTTCATCATCCCGTTGATCAGGCTCTCGAATTTGGTGGGCTCTTTTCGTCTCACCTTGTCTGCTTCTGCTATGAGCACGCCAGAGTCTAGTTCCAGCTCTAGTTCGTGGTTCTTGCTGGGCCCTTGAGAAACCTGTGTTAGATCAACCTGATAAGCACCTAGCCACGAGTATGACATGCGGTCTTTCTGCCGGTGCATGCCCTCGGCCGTCTTTCCACCCTCCACAGCAGGCGTGAGACTCTCTATAGGACCTGGGAAGTCAATTTCCAAGTTGATGCCAATGCGGTAGTCCCACTCGGTCTTTGGAGAGCTGACTTCGAGGTTGCCTAGCCTGTGCTTTATAATCGCACGCAAGAACTCGCCCGTGTTTTTGTCGCGCGTCACACGAACACGCTGTCGGCCACCAGCTGTGCTTATCAAACGCTGAACAATGGGATTCAAAGAGCTGAAGCCTTGCTGGTCTAGTTCGTAGAACATGTCCGTCTCGTAGGTGTGTCGGTAATCGATGGGAGGTCGTGGGGCTCCTGGAGCCTTTGATTGCTGAACCTGCGCGTTCAGAAACAGGTTCATGCGTTTGTGCTGTTGCGCCGTCATGGTACTCTCAAACTTGACTTCCAAAACATCGGTATTCAAAACCGTCTCTGTGCGCCAAAACCCACGCAGTCGCTGGTTCGTCTGCTTGTCTATGATCTGACCCCAGCGCGCTTCCACTTCCAGCTGCACTCTTGGATCTGCGATCGCGCTCCGCACAACTTCATTGTTGACAGCCGTGTTCCATATAAAATCGCATACGTTGCGTGACACGTCATCGTAGATTTGTGCATCGTTGGAGATGGGCCGCTCGAAGCCAGAGAGTTCGCGCACCGCGGTCCCTGGGGGAGGAGCGCCTTTTTCTGATGATGGATGTCCGTTTCGCTCAACCATTGGCGACGGCTGGGGTCGCGGTTGGGGGTGAGCCTGGGGCGGAGGCTGCGCGTGCGGCTGGGGTTGAGCGACAGTCGGCGGCGGACGCGACTGCTGGCGCTGCTGCTCTTGGAGCTGCTTCAGTTCGGGGGGAAGCTCCTCGCCCTCGCGATAAGCCCATATTGGCTTTGGGTCGTGGCGTTTGCGCTTGAGCGACATCTGCTTGAACTTGGTTTTAGGCGGCGGCGAGGGTATCTTTGCAGCGAAGGTGACGGGAGAAGAGGTCGCGGTGGAATGGGGGATGGAGAGCGAACGGCGCGGTAGCACCGTTGCGTCTCCATCATGATTCACTAGCGCAGATATATCCATGGAGGGTGTGGTAGGGTTGTGCGTCGGGTCAATGTACTCACCATCGTGTACCAGGAGGCTAGTGTTGCTAGCGCACGGCCCCCAGGAGCAAAGTGACCCTGGCTGCGCGGTCCAAAGCCGTTGACTTGGGTATCGCTCTAGTCTTTGTTGGGTTTCAGCACATGCTGGCCGTTCCCCGGGCCTGCCTTGGATGGAAGTGTAAGGTGTTCATTCAAAGTTTGCCTACTATCCGCTAGTGTCTACATCGAATCTTGCGGTTCATGCGCCAGACCGTCATTTGGTCAGGCGAGTCATGTATGTGCATCTTGTGCAGCCCTCTCTCTCTCCACATACACACGCCCCCTTCTATCAATAAATAGAACGTCTCCGCTCCCGCGGTACCCTTACGCGTCTTGGTCAAGGCCCAAATCTTCCTGCGCCGGGACAATGCGGAGCGTGTTCGTGTGTCCCATGCCTCCCCTCCAACCTTGCACGCAAATAACGGGATCACCCTTGCTAAGCACTCCGAGCTTGATGGCGTTCATGATGCCCCACTTCAGTCGGCGGTCAACGTCCTCCTGCCATGGCTGTGTCTTGAAGTCTGGCTTCGCCTCGGGGAAATAGAATGGGTAAACGCCGCGGTAGAGGTGTGAATACTACATGATAAATTAGTGATGGGTGCACTTCTCGTGTTTCGCATCAACCTACCCTAGCGGCCATCGCGTTACGGGTAACCATGATGATGGGGCAAACAGGCCTGTACTTGGAGACGAGGCGGGCGGTCGTACCACTAACATTTGTTAGAATTCATCGGTATACAGGCCTCTGGGCCACTCACCTGGTCGTCAGAACCAGAATAGCACCGGCATTCTGCTCAAGACTAGCGCTGACGGCGGCCATGGCGCATGTCTCAGTGGTTGGGCATGGCACGGGAGCAAGCTTTCGCAGCTCGTCGAATGCGTTGACATATGGAATAGCGACTTCAGCAAGCAAGCAAGTCTCGTGCATCATGGTAACGGCCTCTACAGGGTAGTCACCCTTTGCAGTCTCACCAGACAACATGACGCAGTCAGCACCGTCGAGGACAGCGTTACCAACGTCGCTGACTTCGGCACGAGTTGGGCGTGGGTTGTAGGTCATGGACTCGAGCATCTGGGTGGCGCAGATGACGGGCTTGCCGGCAATGTTGCACTTGGTGATCATCATCTTCTGTGCAATGAAGACCTGGCTAGGGGGGATCTCGATACCAAGGTCACCACGAGCAACCATGACACCGTCAGTCTCTCGCAGAATCTCGTCGAAGTTGTTTACACCCTGCTGGTTCTCGACCTTGGCAATGATTTGGATGTCCTTGCCCTCCTCACCGAGCACCTCACGGATGGCGGTGATGTCGCTGCCCCGGCGGATAAAGGACGCAAAGACCATGTCGACCTTGTTCTTGACACCAAACTTGAGATCGGCCTTGTCCTTCTCTGAGAGCGGGGGAAGATCAATGTCGGTCTTGGGCAGGTTGACACCCTTCCTTGACGAAATCTTTCCGTTGTTGACGCACTTGCACTTGAGCGTCTTGTCGTCTACGATCTCGAGGACCTCAAATGAGAGGACACCATCGTCGACGTAGATTGTGCGGCCAGCCTCAATCACCTTGGTGATGTTCTTGTAGTCGACGTACATGTTCTTGTCGTCGCAGGAAGTGGCGTATTGTTCATCGGTTGTGATGTTTATGATGGCACCGGCCTTGATGGGGATATCAGCATCGCCCACGGTGTTACCCGTTCGGATTTCGGGGCCCTTGGTGTCGAGGGCAATGGCAAGCGGCCTGCCGGGCTGTGACTTCTCGGCTTCGCGCGCATGGTCAATGACGGACTGGTGGTACTCGTACGAGCCGTGGGAGAAGTTCATGCGGACGACATTGAGACCGACTTTGCGGAGAGCATTGATCTTCTCAGCAGAGTTGGTCTTGGGACCAATGGTGCAGATGATGGAGGTTCGTCGGTACTGCTTGGCAGGGGTGTACTCAGTGTTGAGCTGGCTGAGCCACTCAATCCTGGTCCTGCCGGAGTTGAGGTGGTCTAGACTAGATTCGGGGTCAGTGAATGCTCCGAAGGGAATATAGTCCCCGACATGCCCATGGTGCGTGCTTATTGCTGCAAAGCTGCTGATCCAATGACACCGTCTATGGGTACACTGATCATCATGGAACAGGGAGGTAAGTCGAGAACTTGGTACAGAGCCGAGTTGGACACTTTTTCTTCCCGCGGAGCTGTCTTATCTGCGCAGGCGTACATGGACTTGCGCCGGCCATGTCTGCTGCAAACAAGAAGGCTGGGTGTGTGTGAATGAAGTATACGTACGCGTTTGCCATTTTCTACGTCTAGTAGTGCGTGAATGGGGGGACAGAAGGAGGGAAAGGGAGGACTGAGCGAAGTTATATCGCTGTAGCGGAGTGCGGGGCCGGTAGGAGCAGTATACAGACAGTCCACTTGGCAATGCGGTGGCTGCAGAGTAGAGGAAGAAGAGGAGAAGGTGAGCGAGCTGGCTACGAAGACAACGGCGCTCGACGAGTTTATCTTGTCCAGGCCCAGGCTAGAAGTTTTGTTGGCCGTCGAGCGTGTTTTGGAGGGGCAGTAGTTTTGGCGCTAGTGTAGGTGCTTAGTACGTGGGGCTGCACCCTGAGCGACGGCACGTTTGGATATAACAATTGGAAACGGATTGCGATGGAGAACTGGGCTTGGTAGCAAAAATGTGGGATTGATAGCGCCACTCCAGCTCCGCTGACTGGCCTGCTGACGGCATTTCTGACCTGCCCCCGTGGTGGTGGTGACTCTCTTCGCCCATTGCTTGTTCGAAACCACCCACGTTGCGGCGTCATTTGCACTCAAGCATCCCACTCTGATAAGGCCCTGTACGTACAGATGCAACCTGCTGCTCAGGGCCATTGCAAATCGCGGCACCGCATTCCGGCGCCCCCGTCCGGTGTCCGAATTCCGGTGTCTCGTCGTCGCAGCTTAGCTAGTGGGCATTTGAGTTTATGTATCGGTGCGCGGCCGGATGCTGGCGTGTCATGGCATTTTTTTCTTCAGTGCTTGTGCCCGCGTGGAGATGCATGCTGCCTCGGGGGTCTCATGGGGTCAATGTCATTGAAAAAAAGATCCCTGAAGGGGGTTCACCACGATGAGGACGGCCTAGTTATATATCACCTGCCTGTAACATGGCCCGCTCCTAGATCACCCGTAGGTGCTCCGCATGGCCGTGGTGCCCGAGGTTCAATCGCTGTCCACCTGCCACTGGGACGTGGGTATCCTGGAGTTCCATATCAGTGGGTACAATCACGGCCGCCGCCGCGTGGTCCCGAAGTTGTGCCTGTGCCTGTAGTACCGCATGTACGAATGGCCTGTTGTAAGCGGGTCGCGGATTGTCACTCTGCAGGTACATGACCTGCGTCTGGGTGTGCAAATACCACAGAATGCTCTGATCTCTTGCCGTGGCCCAGATCAATAGGTAACGGTGCAGGAACCCTATTAACGTCGCGCATGCTGCGTGCCAGCTGGATCACATGCAGGGAGAGTGACTAACCACGGCACCAGCCACACGTCTCTCCACCACTTCTATCTAATCGCTCTACACCGCATCCTTCCACCACTCAACAACCGCCACCCGCGACAACATCCATACCCGCCACACTCTTTGGTACAGTGATCGCCAAACAACTCCCCAAGACCCAACTCCGCTTCGCCCCATACTCTCCACAATGGTCGTAGGTAGCCTGCTCCGGATCCGCGCCTGTCGGGCCGCCGAGTCGCATCCTCAGTAGCTTACACTCCCTCCAGCTCGGCAAAGTCGCACATTACGCCTTTGATGCGGTCCTAAGTACGTGCACAGAAAGTATGCCTATTCCAAAAACAATGTTACTAACCATGCCACAGTCTCCGCTTTCCTGGCTGGCGTCCGGCGCTCAACTGGCCTCACGTACGTTGTCCCCATCCTCTGTTCCTTCCTAGGCACAACCACTCCCCCCCTCCCCCCACTCCTCACCACCACCACACCTGGACCTCCTGCCCGAGCAATATGCTCAACATGATTTCGCGACCTTGATACAAGTCTGGAGCTAAAGCTAAACCCCAGACCCAGTCTAAAGCCAGATTCCTTCAGCGAAAACCCCAGCGCCCTCAAGTGGTTTGAAAACTACCTCTGGGTCGGCGAGACCGTCATGGACCAGAGCGTCGCCCTGTTCGGTGCCAGCTCGTACTTTGAGCGCAAGCGATAAACCGTTCCTTTCCGATATGTACACACTGAGCACAAGAGCTTGGTGGTCGAAGAAAGAAAGCGACCCTTTGTGGCGACAGGCGATAAACAACTGCGACACTGAACCGTTTCGGGTGGAAGAGAAAAAAGCAGAGACAGAGACATTGCAGTGGGACTGTAGAGACATGGATGTGGTCTGGAAAAGTGCAACCTGCGTAGTACGCAGCACGACAAAACACCGGGCAGAGAGCATGTGGCCATGCGGGTTTAAATTTCCTCGTTTTACTCCTTTGGTGGAGGGTGTTGGGACGCCTACTATCTAATCGTCTAGCTAGACGACAACGAATTTACGCTTTTGACATTGACACCAACGTTTTTTTTCCTTCAACCGTGACATGCGATGGAATGCGATTTCGCTACTTGAGTAAACAACCTATCTGGGTATCATGCTTTTGGTGTGGCAGGACACAGGAAACTATCACATACTCCATCTCTTTTCCACGCGAAACAAATCTTTTACCCCCTCCGCTTAAACCTAAACCCCGTTTCCTCATCATCACTATCATCGTCTCTCCTCTCAAACCTGCCCTTCTTGGCAGGCGGTCCACTCGCAGCGCCGGATCCCCTCTTCCTACTTCCCTGTGTCTGCGTACCCTCGAGCTGCGTTTCGACAACTCGTTGTGTGCGCGCACTACTCCTCTGCGTCCGCTCTGCAGGTACCACTTCCTCGTCATTGGGCCCGCTATCCTCGACATTAATGACTTCCCGTGGCGTCTGAGTCTGCGTGCTATGTTTGCGTCGAGCGAAGCCGCCGACTTCTGGTTCAGAGGCCTCATCGTCGTCGGCTTGTGTGCCACGACGGCTGTGGTGCGAGCGTGATGAGGGCTCCACGTCTTCGAGGAAGAAGGCGTCGCCGATGCCGAAACCTTTCTTCGGCGGGGCCTCTTCGAGCGTGACGATGACTTTGTGGCCTTGCACCCCTTGTTCGACGCCACGACGACGGAAACGCTTGAAGTTTTTGCGGCCGTTCCACTCGGGATTCCAGCGGTCGCTGCCTGCTCTGCTCTGATTGTGTGCGCTGCTTCTGTTTTGTCGTGGTAAGACGTCCATTTCCTCTATCTGTGCTAGGTTCTTGAGCTCAGAGATATCGATGCCTTGGAGTGCTTCTCGCAGATTTTCCTCGTCTGCTTTACGTCGCTCTTCTTCTTCCTTGATCCGCTGGCGCGTTTGCTCGCGGACATTGATCTCTTTCTCTGCTTTGGCCTTGGCCTTGTTGAGTCGTGCCAATGCATCTACGCCTTTGGTACTTGACTTTTGTACAGGTTCACCTGCTTCAGGCTCCACCGAAACTGATGGTGCCCGAGTAGCTGCTCTCTGTTTTCTCATCTTTGCGGCCATTGGAAACAGCGTATCTATCTGTTCCTCCTTTTCGACGCTGTCTTGAATATGTAATGGTAGAGAGGCTTGGTTCTGCGTACTGGGACCAGCTTGTGTCTGTGAAGTTGCAACTGATGACCCTGAGGCAGCGACCTGTTGTACATTCTCCTCTGGTATGGTTTCCACCTTGAGCTTCTTCTTCGGGATCGGTTCGTCATCATCGAAACCTGTGAAGCGGCTGGTCTTGGACCTACTTATGCGCTTTCGTGGAATCGCCTTTATGGGTTCTTCTGCTGGAGCTACACTCCCTTCCCGGGATTGTGAAGGTGTCCCTGACCTGGACATTGGAGTTCGGGCACGGGTAGAACGTCGAGTTGGAGCTGAGTCGGGCACAGGGTCACTAGAAGGCACTTGGATAACTTCAGCGGGTGGCCGTTGGAGTTGAGTACGGTCCTTTGTGATGATCACATCGAGGAACTCGTTTTGTAAAATGGAGCGTTGACCAAGTGCTTGATCAGCTCCAGTGACAAAGCTTGCGGCCCATTCTTCCATTGCGTCAGGATAGGTTGGCAACCGAACTGTTATAACTGGAAGCTTCTCGCCACTTTTTCCACGTCGTTTCTTGCCTGCGACGCTGTGAACATAATCGACATATTCCTCAACGGTCGTCTCGCCTGGTCGGACATTGTAAAGTAAAGCCTTGCCGCCTCCACCAGTGACCGGGTCAAGCAAGCTACTGTATTGGCCTTCATTCAAGAAAATAAAGGTTAAGCCTGAGAAAACTTCTGATCTTGAAGCATCGGGAAGCAGCATCTCCTGCGGGCGAGCAACTGGCTCTGCGCCTGCTGCCGGTATATAGTCCTTCTCAGCCGGCCACCATGCCTCAAAGTCTTCTTCCAATTGAGAAGGTATGTAGTTTTGTTCCTCATCGACCGATGCGGCTGCAACACGGAGAACCGCTTCAAGAAATTCGGCAGTAACTATGTGCTTGCCGGACGTTAGACCAGAGAGAACCTTGGGCAAGTTTCGCTTCGCTGATACGACATGGGTTGTCTTGTCGAACACAAAATCCGTCGTAGTCTTGATGTCTAGGGAGTGCAATTGCGTACTACGTGCTTTGCCATCTCTTGACTCCTTGGACGCATAGGTGAACACAACTGGACGCCAAACAACTTTGAACGGCGCATAGCCTTGAGCTAATCGAATTGTGTGCTCTGTTCCTTTCAGTATCTCGCTGCTGTAGGTCACTGTTCCGTCTTCTGTCTTTTGGCTCTTCAGCGTTGTCTTTTCATCGATTGTAGTCCCTTGACGGCAGCTGAGGTCAATAACCTCGATCTGTGACCGTTTGTGGAGTTTGGTTCCGTCCTCTGGTGCCACCTCATAAACCTTGAGCATTACATGCTTCCTCGATACAGCCTTGTTGTCAATCTTCCAATTCCTTCCCTGTGGGCCGTCCTGGTCGGCTGCCCTAGTTCGACCGAAGAGCTGCTGCGATCCCGGGCGGAGCCACACGCGCTTCCCTTCAAAAAGACTCTCATGTTCCAGGAACCACATTGTTGTGGGCTACGGCGAAGCGGCTTACTAGCGATCGGACGGCGATGTATTTGATGTGCTGCGCATTCTGGCTTTCATGGTACGCCTGCGCTCTTTCTCGTCTGGCATGGCATGGCACGACATGTGAACAGGCTACACTGAGGTATGCGAGTTGACGCGCTGTCACGTGACGCGCTAACGATATGATCTCACCTCGACCAGTCACTATGCTGCTCCCACTTCTAGACTCTTACACATCTGCTCACTCTCTGTGCGCCATGATTCTGATCTTTATGATATGTTTAAAAGTTTAATGGAGCGGTTGTCATGCCTATTGGTGACTGCTTCTTCGCTTCGTACATAGCCTGGTTTTGCTATACATTGAATGACTTCTTGAGCCATTCAAGTCCACAACACATTTATGTCTCTAGTATCATCATCCATAGGCCTCTATTTAATCATGAAGGATCAATAAAATCCTAGATAAACATGAGGAGAGAAAGCCAGCAGTTTACTGGCCATCATAACAAGATTCCAATGTTTCCAAACCATTATGCATTTTTTGTTTATTTGTGACGAGAGATAGGTGGGAGTGAATGACTAATCAGGACGGCCGAAATCCCCAATTTAGTAAAAAGTAAAAGTCGGGGCAATCTTGCATATATCTAGCAGCGCCACCATGACAGCTGTGTACACTTTCACCAGATGACACCCGAATCAAATGCTTGCAACGGTGCTAGTATGAAGATCGACATGCAACTACGCAATGAATTATGTGTACAGGGGCATCAAATTGTCGGCCAATGCAATTTTGCAGTATGCTCTGAGCTCATATGGATGACAGTTGTGTCTGGACTCGAGGCTATTGAAGCCAATCATGTGACTATGATGACAGACTAACCAGATTGATTCGCCATGACCGCACGTGAGACCGCGACATGGGGAGATCTATTTCTACATCGGACCATCGCACACACGGCCTTCCAATTCCCTGGGACTCCGTGTATATGCTTTTTCTCGATTCGGACTTTTGTCTCCGTCACGCCGCGTACTGACATCCCGACGCCACTTGTTGAGCCACGCTGCAGGACTTCACCGTTGCGCTGAACACATCTCGAGGAAAGTGAGAGTGCGCGCAAGTGAGCTTTACGACTACGCTATCACTTGAGTCCACGCTTCCGTTTTTGTTTCACCTTGCCAATTGCGCTCCTTGATTTGGCATAGACAAGTTGGCTGTCATCGACGCCTGCCGTTATATGTCAACACTGCAGGTCCGCCAATCACTGCACACGCCAACCCAACCCAAGTACTTCAAATCACATCATTCGCCATTCTCGCACTCATTAAAAAAGTTCTGGAGTTTTGCCGTAAGATGGTGAACAAGATCACGTATTCACGGCGGCAACCCGATAAGCGGCGCCTTTCCTTCGATTTTGATCAAGTTCGTGAGAATGACGACGGCCGCAAGCGGACCAAGACGGCTCACGGATCAGATGAAGTTCAGTTTGTGACGTCGGCTTCAAAACCACAGGCTAAGAAGCCGCTTGTGTCGAAGAAAAGCGCATTTGGTGGACCCGTCTCCATACCAGATGATGCCGATTTGGAAACTTCACCTAGAAGCGTCAACAGACTTTCGGTTTTCGACAAAGTCCTGAGTAATGGAAGGCATCAACCTGAAAAGACAGATGAGAATAGTCTCTGGACCACTAAGCAACAGTTTTCAGAGATGATGAAGATCGGACAGAGGTCCAGAGAGCACAACGACCAGAAGAACAAACGCTATCTGCCTACGCCACCAGCCGAGGTTCAGAGAAAAGGGCACGATGAAGTGCAGGAGGACGAGAGTTTTGTACGGCTGAATGGATATGTTGAAAAAGACAGGTTGAACACGCCTGAGACATCACCTACTCCTTCAACGCGAACCTTTCAGCTGTCTGGACAAGCCCGCAGGAATGCGCCAAGAGAGCCTTATCAACCGAGGGCCTACAAAGCCTTACTAACTCCCGCACCACGTGAGAAGATCAGCGGGTCACTACTATCAAGAGAGTCTCGTGAAACCCAGTTGTAAGTGCGATTCGGAGTGTGCCTTAGTTCCGCAGACTGACTCAACTAGATGGTCGACGAACCAAGTCAGCTCACCGTTCTTGCAGCTCCCGCAAAATGTCCGGGATATCATCTACAGATATACACTAGGCGGCAAAACAGTCAACATCAACTATGAGACCTACCGGATAACCTTCGACCCCACGAGGCCTCAGGTGGCGAAGAAAGTTACGCCTGTCTTCAAGTATCATTGCACAGTCATTGATGGCAAGATGAATCCTTTCCAGGCGGCCGCCAAGCCGTATATCAAGATACGCAAGAGCTTCACTCTACTCAACAGCGTATGTCGGCAGTTGTATGTGGAGACTGCGACTCTGCCATATAAACTCAACATGATGTGCTTTAGCTCACATAACATCATGGTCAACTTCCTGCTCATGGAGAAGCGACTGTCTCGTGAGCAGCTCGATGCTTTCACGCAGCTGCTCCTTCGCAACGAGCTGCCTGGTCCGAACCTGCTGGCTTGTCTGCGAAGTCTCGAGAAAGTTTACCTTGTATCTGACCAGAGCGGGAAGTCTTCGGGCTGGTATCATGTTGAGCGCGAGGAAAGAAAGGAGCCAAATCTAGTCCAGGCTCCGAAGGGGCGTACATAATGGGTGGGTTGGGTGGTATGTAATAGGTAGTGCAGGGGATTTCCTTTATTTGGTCGGATTCCGACCAACACGGCCGTAAGAAGCACATTTTCGCCGGTCTTGTTGTAGACGGACTGGAGATGCAATATGCAGCATGACTCGATTTCCTTAGTAGTGCACAATGCATCTGGTACGTGGCCGTGCCACTTTTGGGGTGCGCATGGTTGGTTTAGTCAGATTGGCATGTGAAAGAGGCGCCGTGTCTAAGCCCGCGTCAAGTTCAGATGACCACGCGCTTGACACCCTTAATTTTTTGGCGTGTGCACTGCCGTCTCATGTGCTTGGATCTCGTGCTGTGTGGAGATCGAAAGGAGCAGTTGGAACGCGTGGGAAGCGGTTCATAGGCGCACCCCACGTTTGCACCCTCTCCGGATCTACGCTGCCTGCCGGTTCTCCGCAAGCCAGTCCCCCAAGTCAGCACCGTCAGCGAGCACAATGACCCGAACGGTGCATGGCAGCGGGTACAGTAGTGTGGAGCTTGTGCAGGTCCCAGAGGGAATATTTGCTAATCATCAGCACGGGGCCGACAAGGACGGGCAGCGGGTGCTGCTGGAGCGAGTCGTTGTCACCTTTCCTTAGCCGTACCCTTGACGTTTAATGACGATGGCCCACGGACACGCGCCCACTCTTCCCCGGCCCTTGAGCCTGCACTGGCAGCTTCTGGTAAATACTTCAGAGGCCGGTGTCCACCTTTGCTGCTCATCTCCTGTCGCTCTGCCAGTTGTCTGCTACAAGAATTCCACTCGCCGACCCGTGACGTAGCTTCCGCGACTTGCGCGACACCTGGCGCATGACCACCGCCCACGGTTAACCCCATTTCCGCCAATACCTACACCGCGTCTCTGGGGAAAAGCACTATTATTACTACGCTGTCGACCGCCGTTTTCAATTGAAATATCCTGTCCTGCCAGTCTCCGCCTTCCCACCTCGATAGCTTCACAGCCTGTTGCGCAGCGCCCCTTTCGGCCCTTTCCTTTGACCATTGTCCGATCGTCCAATTCAGGCCTTGCACCGTTCGCGCATGGCGTGCACCATTGCTCCATGTCACTGCTGTCTGACACTATCTTTGCAGGCGGCAGCACTCGACTGCACGTAAGAGGAGGACAAAATGGCCAGAAATCCTTGAGAAAGAGCAAGAGTCATGCTGGGTTTCTGGGCCCCCTTGCACACCTCGTCAGGAACCCCGTAGGCAGTCTTGTGGGAATATTAGGCGAAAGAAATGTCCCTGAGCAGGGGTTTGGCACAGCGGAAGACGCCCGCCGGCAGGTCCTGTACCTGCGCTTGAAAGACGTGGGTTCCTCAGATTGGTGGTACCCATCATCACATGCTAACGAGACTGCGCTGCACAGGCCGAGACCTACGACGAATGGAAAGCCGCTGCCACTGAGCTCGACATCTTAGAGGGCAATGAGGCTTGGAAAGACGAGGATGAAACGCTCGAGTACAATGCCGACCTAGTCGCCGCTCGACTAAGTGAATTGGACGACGCGCGTATGAGTTGCGACGTCAAGAGGATGTTGTTCCTGATTAGAACTACCCTCACCCGCGGCTTAGGCGACATGGGCGATCTGCGCCTGTACAAGCATTCGCACATCGGCACCAAACGGCTGATTGAGAGGTACATTGAGTCAGCACAACAAACTTTGGCTGCTTTGTTGAGCGTCTCAGAAAAGCAAGGAGACCAGTGTTCTGTCGAGCCACGACGACTGGTCGACCAGCTCCTGCAGACACGTCAATCCTTCGGCCGAAGTGCATTGCTTCTGTCGGGGGGTGGCACTTTGGGCATGAACCACATTGGCGTTGTTAAGGCCCTGTGGGAAGCCCGTCTCCTCCCACGCATCATTTCTGGAGCGTCTGCTGGAAGCATTGTCTGTGCTGTGCTTTGCACCAAGACGGATGCAGAGATACCAGATGTCATGCACGAATTCTGCTATGGTGACCTTAACGTGTTTGAAAACCCCGATCAACCCGATGGCCTCCTAGGCATGGCGATGCGTTTGATGAAATCTGGTGTTCTTTTCGATATCTCGCATCTAACCAGAGTCATGCGAGGCTTGCTTGGAGACATGACTTTTCAGGAGGCATACAATCGGACCCGTCGCATCTTGAACATACCGGTTTCAACATCCTCGCTCTATGAGCTGCCCAGGCTGTTGAATTACATTACGGCGCCGAACGTCATGATCTGGTCAGCTGTGTAAGTAATGTGGATACACTGGTCCATGTTTATACTAATGAAGCTCAGATGTACATCTTGCTCAGTCCCATTGGTTTACAAGAAAGCCTCACTCATCGCTAAAGACCCAAAAACCGGTCTAGAAGTTCCTTGGGACCCCAATCCTGACGCTACTTGGATCGACGGCTCAGTTGACAATGACCTGCCAATGACGCGTCTGTCGGAAATGTTCAATGTTAACCACTTTATTGTCTCTCAAGTCAATCCACACGTCGTTCCTTTTCTGGAGAAGGAGGAGGAGCTAGTTCCTATCGAGGATCAACAAGACATTAACGCTGGACCTAGCTGGCTAAGCCTTTCCGCCAGTCTGTGTAAAGGAGAGGCCATGCATCGCCTGCAGCAGATGGCAGATACTGGGGTTTTCCCAAATCTTGCCACCAAAGTCAAATCTGTCCTTAGCCAGCGGTATTCTGGAGACATTAACATCTTTCCCAAGATCCATTATGCCGACTTTCCTAGGGTGTTGAGCAACCCGACAACCGAGTACATGATTGGATGTATGTTAACCGGGCAACGTGCGACTTGGCCGAAGCTTTCACGCATACAGAACCATGTCGCCATTGAGCTCGCTTTGGACGATACAATACAGCAATTGAAAGGGCGGCTTGTATTCCCCTCCACACCCACCGAACCCCAGATCAGACGCACTAATTCCCAGGACACTGACATTTCCCAAAGAAAGCGAGCGAGGTCGACACACAAATCAGCCCGCTTCCAACTGAGGACGAGTCCCCCCAGCCCTGTACTTAGGAAGTCAGCACCTACTACACCATTCCTTTCTCGCACGCAGTTGAAAGCATCACTGCAATCCCTATCCGCCTCGAAGAAGATTAACGACGCAACCCGTCACCAACCCCACGGTCTAAATATTGATGCGATTCAGTTGGAGCCAGCGTCGTCAACCAACGATACTTCTGACCAAGACTACTTCGCAGACCCCGACTCAGATCTTACAGATGGCATCTCGTCACCTTCGCCACCCACATCACCCAATTTCCAAGGCCCAATCCTATGGCCTTCCACACCCCAAGCCGTGATGCGACCTGCCCCGCAACCGGTATCTCAACCTGTACAATCACCGCCCATCAATATCAGCCCACTTCGCCGCCGCACAGACACATTGTTCCATCTCACCATGACATCAACGACCTCGCAGTCAACAACGGGTAACGCGCCAAGCTCACCCGAACTACGCTACAAGCGCCTATTCCATCCTCCTGGCCCAGCTACCCCCGACGTCAGTGTCGGCCCGCCACAGCTTGAGCAGGAGTTTGTCTGGCCCACGCCATCACCAGGGCCCAGCCGCCCGGGCAGTAGACGCAATAGTGCATCTGGCTTGCCGCTTGATCACTCTGGTACGAGGGGTATGCTGATGCGGAAGAAGAGTTGCATGTAATCGATTCTGTGTAGACTTTTTACATTTTTCTTTTGTAGATTCGTACGACTACAAGCTAGTCTTGTTTCCGTATCTTTCAATCCCGTTCATCTGCCAGCCACACACTCTCTTCTCTCATATGTTCTCCATATGTATCCTGCATTTTCAGGCGTGTGTATGTGTGCTTGAGTTTTTTGGAGGATGCAGAGTGGTAGATGGATATACAAACATTCACCTATTATTTCTTTTTGTAGAATGTTGTAGAAGCAGAGTCGGTTAGTAAAAGAAGACCTTACCGTCTGTTTTGAGGATAGATGGAAACACACAATTCGTAAAGTGAGAAGAAGAATATGCATCAGACAAAGAAGGAAAGAAGGAAAGAAGGAAAGAACGTTTATTAGTAGAGATTTTATATATGTATATACCCTCTTGTTGTTGCATTGCCACCGCCCCATCGTCATGTCCCCATTCGTTATATACCATTACTCATTCATCCCCCGCCCTGTCTCTCTCTCTCTCTTCCTAACATCTCTCACACACCCCTACGATCTATCACCCCCAAACTTAACCTTGACCTCCTTCTTCCCCCTCCACCGCTCAAGCAGCTCGTACCCAAACACCAAGACAATCGGTAAGCTGACTATAATTGCCGTGACCCGGCGTGCCGCGGGCTTGTACTTGGGCGGAAGCCGTATGTCGGGTGTAGGCTCTATGACGCGCGTGTGTTGGGAGAGCGCGGGGGGGATGCGGCGTGGGGTGGATGGGTAGGGGTTTGGCGGGAGGACGGGGTTGCGGGGGGATGTTGTGTGCGAGGCGGAGGAGATGGGGGATGGAGCGGGGATGGGTTTTTGCGGTAGGGGGATGGTTGTTGGTGCGGGGTGGGTTCGGGGGGTTTTGGGTTGTTGTTGTTGTTGTGGTGGTGGTGGTGGTGAGGAGGATGAGATGGGTGGTGCTTGTGCTGTTGTTGCTGGAGGAGTACCGCTATTCCTGCTCTCTAGGCTGGCTGTTTTGGTAGGCAATGTCTTGCTCAGTGTCCCCTTGGCGCGTACGGACTCGAGTATCTTGCTTGTTGCTGGTGTGACGGGCGTAAGATGTTCCGGCGCATTCTTCTTCGCAATTGTCTTCTTGTCCTTCTCTGGCGCGATAAGTTTGTCCTTGGGCGCTATAGGCTTTGTAGTTGCTTTCTTTACAGCTGGTGTTTTCTTCGCTTCTACGACTATGGTTTCCCCCGCATCTTCGGCCACTTTCTTGGGTCGTCCGCGCTTCTTGACTGCTGGTGGTTCGATGGTGGTGTTTGTCGATGACATTGTCGCAATTGTTTTTTGTTTTGCGCAATTGGCGTAATAAACAATGTCTCTAGACAACAAACGTCGAAGGGGCTGAATAAGAGTCACCAGAGGCTTGCGACACGAGGGGCAGGGTATGAACGCGGCTTCGAGGGGTAGAGCGGGAAATTTTGGGCCAGTGTTTTTGGGGCGGAGATTACAGTACAGGGATATGCGCGTATCGATAGGAGTACCGTCTAGCCATCCCTGCGTAGCGAGAAACCTCGTGTAGCCGAGTATTACATGATGTTGGTAACGACGAAGTTGCAATGCCAACTAAGCTTGACAGGCGCACTGTCTTCAATTTCACCACATTGCAAAGGACAACAGTTGGGTTGTGCTTTACGCAACCATTGCCAGAGATGTAGAAACTGCTCACAGCAGCAAGCCTGAAGCCATCAAACAGAGCCACTTCAATTATCGGTACTCTGAAAATCTTCCTCACTACTACTCGGATGTGCAGCCTCAATTCATCCGTGTCAAGCCTCTGCATGCAAAGTTGGTTTCTATACATGATTTCCTATGGTTCCAGCTTCTTCAGTATAGATGTACGTCAGGTCCTGTAATCCTGATTTGAATGCCTGATCATTACTATCGAGCAAGAAAGAAAAAATCTTTCTATGCACTCAAAGTTGAACCCACCAACATCGTACTCACTTGAGACTCTTCCATAAAGGGTAAGAAAGGTGCACCCAGGAAGAACGCGCAAACGAACAACCTTTGCAACCAAGAAAAACCTCGACCGTATTAGTAATTATATCTTTGAACATGAACATGTCAAAAAACAATAATTCAAACAAAAGCCTAATGATATTGCATCATGTCCTATGCTACCATTACCTATTATTTCGGTATCATACCGTCTCTGTCAAACTCGATAAGCAGGTTTAAGCTAAAGAAACTTGTGCTTGCTATTCTTGAGAATAATTGAAGCAAGCTAGATGTAACATATTCGTATTCCAATTTTTTTTTGTAAATTTCCAAGTTGGGTATCGAGGAGGATTCTCTAGTCGGGATGCTCTCAGCGTTTGGCTATTTCGTTGACTGTGCTAGTGCCTTTTTTCTTCTTATTAAGACATTTTTTTTGAAAAAAAAATTAACAGATGCTGATACGGCCACCATGATGAGGGCTTAAAGACATATTACAGAGAAAATTTTCTAGAATATCGAGGGTGTAACATGTCAGAGTGTAGTTGAATGTGATTTACTTGAGTACGGTGTTGATTCATTAAACACAAAATCAAAAATGATTATGAAAAATCGACATGATGGCCAGTATGAACAACCGAGCTACGATTTCACCCTAGCAATCGTTGAATACATCTCTCATCATCACGCCTGGGTATTCAACAAGCCCTTCCTAAGAATTCCATTTAGCATACCAACCGATTACACTTTCTAATTTCGCTCCTATATACGCCCCCCCCTCTAACTCTCCAAAAAAAAGCCATCTTCCCAAAATCTCACATCTTATCCGCCATACCCTCACCGCCCATCCAGACAATATACTGCTCAATACTCTTCTGCATGGCATTCGTCGACTTCTCGATCAAGCTCGTAAGCGGGGTGCTCGCCGCATGTTCACTCATAATCTTGAGATAATCATCATTGAACCCATCGTTGATGTTCATCTTGGCAACACCGCAGTCAATGCACTCGCGCAGCAGCTTCTCCTGGAAGTACTCTTTACCTGCGCCGTGGAGGACAAGGCTGACGCGGTCGCCGACTTGAGCGTGGACGCGCTTGAGGCGCTCGTAGTCGAGTTGTGGGCCTTTCGGGCCGTATTTTCCGTGGACGTTGCCGAAGGCGGGGGCCAGCCAGTTGATGCCTGTTGCGACGAATTCTTCTGCTTGCTCGGGCGTGGTGAGGATGGCTTCGAGGCCCATTTCGCTCAGGTCGCCTACGCCGTCTTCGCCGCCATCGATACGACCGGGCTCTGCTTCGGTGATGATGCCGCGCTCGTTGCAGTAGGCGACTAGTTCTTTGGTCTTCTCTAGGTTGTCGTCGTAGTGGCTCATGTCGACCATGATGCCGTCGAAGCCGTTCTTGATATCTGCGGCCTTCTTTACAATCTCGGGTGTTTGGGCGTGGTCCATGTGGAGCGCAATGGGCACGCTGGCGTTGTCTGCTGCTTCACGGGCGGCATGGACAAGAATGGCATCAGCGTATTGTACCGCCCATGGAAAGAGCTGAATAATGAGGGGAGCGCGCTTGGCTTCTGCAGCGCGAACAGATGCGAGGATTCCTTCAACGTTGTAGACGCATGTTGCGCAGATGGCGTATTTGTTTGCTGCGGCGTGTGCAACAAGCTTCACGGCTTTGTTTTGGGAGAGGTCAGGTGCCATGATAGATAGTATATATGAGAAACAGATGCTTTTGTATTGTATAGAACCAATCTACAAGTCCCAGACGTAAGACACTGGAGGAAAAGAGCACTGTGAGGTAGGATTAATGTTACAGCCCTGCCCCTCGTATGTAGTAGTTCCGGCAGCACTTCCGACATTCCGAGAGCCTGTTATGGCGGGGTTGTCGGCAATTGACTACAATATTGAACGGCGCAAACACCGATGATCCGGCCCGCTGGCCGCTCAATGGCTCCCATGTCAATTACGGGGCCTGCGGGATACTCAGTTGAGCAGCTCTTGCCGCGGCCAAGTGTTAGTTTCACCCGGTGGTCTTTGGATTTCCCGGGTTGTCCGGATTCCCCAGATAATGTGCACGAAAAAAAATAAGATACGCATGATTCGACAATGAGTCGTGCAAAAGCCTGGACTAGCATTTGCAGCATCTCCCGCTAATCTTGTTCCCGATGCATCAATTATGTGCTTGATATCCTACATTAACGCAAAAGACTGCCGAGTATTGATTAACGGAAAGCAATCCAATGTTCGCATCGACTATGCAATCTTCAAGAGGGCCGTGACGTCATACCAGATCCTAACCATCCAAATACTCATTACGTCCATATCTCAGCGTCCTCAAAAAACATAAATGTAATAGAACGTAATGCTGACCATTCAAACAAACTACTCTTCCATCTTATCCCCACCATTAACAATACCCGCATTCCCCTCTCCGAGATGTTTCAATAGCCAACTTCGCTTGAAGTATGTGTTGGGATGGACAATGGTATCCAGATCATTGTTGCTCCAGCTGCCATCGTCCTTGACCTTTTTAATTTCCTTCTTGTGACTCCATTCGAAAACGCGATTGCAAGCTACGTGGTACCTCTGCTTGACCACATCCTCCTTAACTGTCTTGAGAGTATCGCGGTCGTTAACGCCAACACGTTGGAGGAGCGTGAGCAGGTTGTCTGGTGTAAAAGTACGATATGGGCAGCCATGTGACTGTCCTGGTCCAGGGAGAGGTTCTGTAAGGAGTTTTTGGCACGAGTAAGGGGTGTAGCCGCGGCCACGACGGTTGGCGTCACCACCTACATCACCATAGGCGTGGCGGATGTTGTATTTGTATTCTTTTTGAAATTTCTCGTCTGTGATCAGCTTAAAGCTTCGCCGCCAGAATACCAGACACTCATCTAAGCTCAGGCCAATGCCTTTCAGGAATAGAGTATACTGTAGACGGCCATAGTGCTTGAGATGTGAGTTCTCGCGCAATGTCATGTGTAGGTTGCGCATGCAGAGCGGGAAATTTTGCGACAGTGTATCGATGCTGTTGGCGGTTATGGTAGAGAGGCCGTTGATATCGGCATCTGACGTTGAGTATGCGGCGTCGGGCGCTGTGAAGGATTGAGAAAGGTGTGCAAGGATGGGTGCAAGGCGGTCATCTTCGTCGAGGCGAGGAAGTGCTCGTGCTGTCAACTGTTCAGACGGTTAGCAAAATATTGAAAACAAATGCATTGAGGATGGCATACTTCAAGTGCTTCGTCTAGTTTCTTTGTAAACTCGGCCACTACCAAGCTCATCTGCTCTCGTTGCGGCACGTAAGCCATGCCCCTTCTCAGCAGGACCTTTCTCTGTGCGACGAGTTCTGGCACTCTCTCCCAGTCAACTTTGAACCACTCCTGATCGTCAGTCTTCTTGATTCCACTCGCAGCGTGTAGGTCGTCCTTCAATTCACGCTTCTCGTCCTCTTTGACCTCCTCCCACTCAAGGTTCAGACTCTTTACGAAATCCTGTCGCTCTCGTATATCATCGTCTTTGAACCGCAGTGTGAATAGCATTGTTTCTAGCCGTGAAAACCGCCGGCGGAGATCCTCTGTTGACGAAAACGCAAGCCTAAGTATGAAGTGCGAATAGTGATCCCTTCGCCTCTCTTCCTGTAGTTTCTGGCTTCTTGACGAGTCCGATCGAAGTGGCAGGTACTTGTCCAATATACTCTTCATATATTCGGCTGTCTCTTCAGGGCTCTTGTTGCGGAAACTGCATGCTTCGAGTTCGGAGAGGACTGCAATGCCCAAAGTCAGCAAATGAACCCGGTTGTTTGCGCATTGCCATGCCACTGACCCTTCAATCGGTCAATTGCCCATGTCTCAAACTCCTCGAGCGTAATTTCAGCTGTGGGTGGCAGCACATAGAAGTTCAGCCGGTGCTGGTAGTTCTGTTGCTGGAATTCTGCCTTGGCAAACTGTCGCTTCTTGTAATCAAGATTGGCACGACGCTTGGTATCGACTCGGGAATGGTCATGGCGGATCATGGTGAACTTGTAATGTTGCTGCTCTGCTACTTGGGCGAGCAAGTCAGGCAACGTGGATGCGGTATGTTAAAGTGGCAGGCGCGGTCGCGTCAACGCGTAGATTCACGCTAACCACTTAGAGCCAGCGCGCATTCCAGGTTTCTGATGGGTCATTTGACACCAGTTAATAGCCTACCGGTATGTAGTCCTGAATGGCACAATGTTAAAGCTATTTCGCCTCGTGCGCAAATATATAAGTAGCGAATTGTATCGGTTCTATCAAGTCTATGTTCATTCCATTCCAACTCTATGCGCGATACATCAACGTCCCGATGCACGCTTGCTGTCGGCACACCACTCAGCCCAGCAAGTCGCCCAAAGCGTTGACGTATGCCGTGGGAACTGTCGGCGCTCCCTCAGCTAGGAAGTCTTCCTTCTTGCTGACACCGGTCAGCACAGCCAGCGTACCTCCCAACTTGCCGTCTATGCCAAACTGAATGTCGGTGTTCAGTCTGTCTCCTATCATACAAGTTCTACTGCGATCGAATTTGAATTTGCCTTCTACAGCATCCATCATAGCCTGGCTCGGCTTACCCAGAGAAAGTGGTGCCCTTCCAATCGCCCTCTCAAGCGCAGCACCAGAAGAGCCTGCACCTGGGAACAGAGTGTGCGACATTGGGAGCGTGCTATCAATGTTTGTAGCAAGGTAAATAGCCCCACGCTGTAGGTACTGAAAGGCGATTGCGGTCTTCAGGTAGTTGGAGTGAAAGTCTAGCCCACTGAGCACGATACCAACGTCTGGATCAAGAAGGGTGCCGTTCGCAATGGCATCGAAATCTTCTGGCTGGCGGATATCGCGACGGTATGCCGGGTCTGTACCACCAATGTAGGGGACGCCTTCAGATTCGAGCTCCTGTTCCACGCCAGACTCGCCTAACACAAACACTTTGTTCTTCGGACCGGGCAACTTCAGAATGCGGGCAATGTATACGGCAGCACTATAGGACGAACCAAAGACTTCGTCCTGTGGTGTTGTCAGCTGGTGTTCATCCCTTGGAATCGCGCATACTACGTACCACATTGGCGGGTATTCCCAGTTTATCAAACTTCTTTTTGTAGTCGGCACGCGACTTTGTGCTGTTGTTGGTAACGAAGACGAGCTGCTTGCCTGGTAATACTTATTAGATTTCCTAACCCTCCTGGGAATACGGCAAACGTACCTTTACTCCTTAGCATCTCAAGTGTCTCGGGAACCTTGTCAAACAAATGATCGCCGGACCAGAGAACGCCTATCCTTTGCCACAATCAGCAAACCGCCACATGCTGCACAACACTGCCACCAAATAGTTGGTGCGTACCATCGCAGTCAAAGAGGAAGACCTTGGTGTTGTTGAGTATGATGTGATTGACTAGAGTGGGGTGGTTTGGGACATACGTCAAATCTGTCCAGGAAGCCGTCGATGGCGGCCTTGTCGCCGGAGAGAAACTGAGGACTTGCCATTACGGTCAGAATTCTGTCTTCTTGTACAAGTTATTGCAGCGCGTTGAAGTGCTAATAGGAGAATGATCTGGAGGAAGATGACAATAGTGGGGTGCTTGGCATGCGCCTTGCAGTCAATTCGGAACGAAACCGACAGTTCCGATGGTCAAAAAGGTGCTTATTTTTTTATTTCATCATTCGTTGATACATTCTACATGGCTCTTGGTCTCGTATGTCTCTTCACAGTCTGGATCGATCCAGTCAATCTACAATAATCTTCTTCTCCAGCTCCTCGTAGTTCTCGAAGAAGCTATCGAACAAGTTCACGGCGTGCTCGACGTCATGCGCACCACCCGTCTCACGGATACTGTGCATGCTGAGCTGAGGATTGCCCAGATCAAGGGTGCGAGCACCCATGGCTGCTGAGAGCATGGGACCAATTGTGCTGCCACACGACGAGTCGTTGCGAACAACGAAAAGTTGAAGTGGAACTCCTTCTTTGGTCGACGACAAATTGTAGGAAGCGGGTTTCGCACGACGCGCCGCCTCCTGGAGCAAGACAATACCTGGCGTGTTAGTGGCATAACGGGCATTGGCATTGATCTTGATGACCGTTCCCTTGTTCATCTCGGGCCTATGTTGAGACTCGTACTTGGCGGGGTAGTTGGGGTGGACTGAATGAGCCATGTCGGCGGACACGAGGAAAGATGTTGCCAAGGTTTGCTCAAACGCGGTAGCAGTATCGGCCTCCACCTTATCATACGACTTGTCAGAGTTGCTCTCGGACGCGGGCAGGACACTTAGACGGCGGATAACGGCAGGCAAAAGGTTGGAGTCAGCGCCTTGGGCTGTCTGTGAGCCAATTTCCTCATGGTCAAAGCATGCGATGAGTCGAATAATGGAATCCTTCTCCAACGCCGATGGAGAGGAAAGACTCTTGATGAGTCCCTCAACACTGCAGTAGGTCATCATGAGGTTGTCCAGACGCGGGGAGAAGATGAGCTCGTTGTTCAGACCACCGATGACTGATTTTTGTGTGTCGTACAGAACCATCTCGAAGTCGACAATATCGCTGGCTTCTGCGCCTGCCTCCTCGGCGATGATATCGACAATGTAGGGGTGATGCCTAGCAGTTGGAGCGGCGAGCGGCTCGAATGAACCCTCAGCGTCTGCGTCCTTGGTCTCTTCCTTGGTCTCTTCAGTCTTGCCCTGGCGGTTCAGCTCTGCTGCAACCAGACCAGTGATGGGGAACAGCTGTGTCTCCTTGTTGAATTGGAAGTTCTCCTGACGATCCAGGTGAATTGCCAGTGTGGGTATTCTCAGAATGGGTCGGTCCACCTTGACCAGGCGCTGCTCGATGTTGCCATCCTTTGTCCGCACCATAGCCCGACCAGCAATGCTGAGGTCGCGATCGAACCAAGTATGCCAGAGCCCGCCACCGTACGTTTCGCAGGCTACTTGGAGGAAGCCGTCGCTCTGTCGCTTAGAAACGGGCTTGATGCGCAGACAGGGCGAATCCGTATGAGCGCCGATCATGGCAATGGGATTTCCTGGCTTCCATTTCTGGCCGATGGCGAAGGCGACGATGGAGGAGGTGTTACGGGTGAGGTAGTATTTGCCACCGGGCTGAAGGGTGGGTGCCCATGAGTCTCGTTCCTGGGGTTTCTGGTCAGGATATATGCAGGGGCTGGAAGGAGGGGCAATTGCAGACTTGCCTTGATCTGCTTGAAGCCGGCCTTCTCCAGTCGTTCCTTTGCTGACTTGACAGCATGGAATGCTATGGATGGTTAGCACGTGTCAATGGCTGGGTCATTGCATCCATCATACGCGTGGGCGAGGCATTCACAAAGGAGAGAAAGTCCTCTGCAGCTTGGAGAGAGGGCTTGGAGCTCATTGTTCGATGGATGCGCAACAGACGAAAAGGAGGTCGTGGTGCAATAGAAGAGGCAAAGGGAGTGAGGTGCAGTAGTGTGGTTTGCAGCTTTAGATGTGGCACGATAGGCATTGGACCGCCGGGGCTACGTACATAGTAGGGACAGGCAGGGCGGCGGGCGGTGTGTGGGGTATCGACGTATCGACGTATCGACGAGAGGCCGCGGCAGGCGGGCGGGACTAACCCAGTTGGGCGGGCGGGCTCTCATTGGACGAGAGGCAGCGTCAACGCGTGCGAAGAACATCAAAACAGCGACAAGCCAAACATGGGAGGCACGACGAGGTGGCTCCTGCCCTCGCGCACCATCGCGGCTGCCTCTGCTTTTGTGTATGAGGTTGGAAGGTGCTTCAGCCAGTGTGTTTGCATCTTCACGTCCCCAACCACCCTCGTTTTGCCTAGATGCACCCTGTGGCTGTCCATTGTTAGCTTCCCGCCCCTCGCTCGTTGCCTGCGCCCGCTACGCTACCGCCGCCGCCGCTCGTTGCTCCCCCAGCCAACTCGCGGCTGTCCAGCATCCAAGCCCCGACCCGCAACCACAACAAGGTCACCGCCGACACCCCACCCGTTGCGCGCCAACCACCACAACCACAACCGCCATACTGATCCGATGCGCACTGATCCTGCATAACGTCACTCCTCTTGTTCGCACCCGTGTGCGCAAAAACTCCGTCTTGTTGGCCAAAGAGGTGGATAAACAACCAAGGGGCAGCCATCTGTCGCAACAAGACGACTCTCACCTCACCGCCGCACTCACCTCACCCCTCTCGCCTTCACCTTCATTCCTAGACCATCCTTACTCGGAAGAGCATACGGTCTTGAATCCGCCGCCTTTGACGTGTCTCACCCCGCAACGTCTTTGTTGCCCTGCTTGGTATACAATAACAACAACGACAACAACGACAACAACAACAACCACCCGCACCACCTCAGCTCCCACAACCCGGCGCACTCATCACAATGGCACGAGGCCAGCTAAGCGACGCAGCTACGGCAAATATACAGTCCGAAGACGACATCGCAACACCGACGCTGATTTCCCCGCCCGAGTCCAAAACACCACCGACCGCTTCCCACAAGCGCAGCCAGTCCTTCCCCACCAAAAGACTCAGTCGCAACTCGGAACCAATAGATCCCACAGCTTTGTCAAAAGCGCTTGGACATATTGAACAGGCTGGCCGTGTGCGAGAACGGACACCAACAGCAAGCCCCAGCCGAAAGCGCCCGCGGATGTACGGTGATAGGTGAGACTGCTACGCTGAAGCTGCAACCGCGCGTGTTACTAAATTTTTGCTCAGATTTATCCCAAACCGCGCAGGCCAGGATCTTCAGGCAAGCTTCAATCTACTCCACGATGACGCATCTCCAGCGACACCGTCCAAGGCTAGGCGGACTCCCCACAACGAGCTGCACTTTCAGAAGAGTAAGGACAACCACAGTGTTTCATGCGATCCATGGCTGACTAGGTCATAGCTGAAGAAGCCAACCGCACATATTCCGCCGTACTCCGACAAGAAATGTTTGAGGGCTCAGTGCCTCAAGCTTTACCCCAAAGTTTGTCGCCGACTGACAGTGGCAATATGAGGGGCGCAGGACGCTCACATACTCCTCCAGCGAGGACTACCGCCTCGCTACCGCCCCCTTCAGGGACTCCATCTACCCCGCACAAGAACCTCTTTTCCTACTCAGGCCAGCCAACACCGTCACGAACGCCTTCGAGTCGGCACGGTGTACTCAACCTCAATGCTCGATCAGATCTTTACAGTTTATCCCCCATCAAGTACAGCAGTCAACGTATGCTGCTTAGCCCTCAACGTCAAGCTCGCGCGGTTTCCAAAGTACCGTACAAAGTTCTAGATGCGCCGGATCTAGCAGACGATTTCTATCTCAACCTAGTAGATTGGGGCAGCCAAAATACTTTAGGCGTAGGCCTTGGGTCATGTGTATACATGTGGAATTCGAGCAGTGGTCGCGTTACCAAGCTGTGTGAGCTTGCCGATGATTCTGTCACCAGCGTGAACTGGATACAACGTGTAAGTCTCGTACAGAGTGTATAATTTACATGCGCGCTAATACAATCCAGGGCTCACATATTGCTGTTGGCACAAATCGAGGCCAAGTGCAAATATGGGACGCACAGACTCAGCGCCGCCTTCGTACCATGACTGGCCACACTGCTCGTGTTGGGGCCCTTGCATGGAACGAGCACATTCTCACTTCTGGATCCAGGGATCGCACCATCTACCACCGAGACGTCCGGCAACCAGAACAATGGCTTCGCAAGCTTGTAGGCCACAAGCAAGAAGTCTGCGGGCTAAAATGGAACCAAGAAGACGGTCAACTCGCTTCCGGAGGCAACGACAACAAGCTCATGGTGTGGGAAAAGCTCAACGCAGAGCCTACTTTCAAGTGGAGTGAGCATCAAGCTGCTGTCAAAGCAATTGCTTGGAGTCCGCATCAGCGGGGTCTCCTGGCCAGCGGTGGTGGTACGGCAGACCGAACAATCAAGTTCTGGAACACGCTCATATCCTCAAACGGCCCGTCAGCTTCAGCTCTTGCATCTGCATCAGCGGCTGCATCAGCAGCTGCGACCACCAACATCCCACTTTCACCCACAGCACCAGCAAACCTTATCAACAGTCTCGATACTGGTAGCCAAGTATGCAACCTCGCATGGTCCAAGAACAGCAACGAAATCGTTTCCACCCATGGATACAGCCAAAACCAAATTATTGTTTGGAAGTACCCAAGCATGCAGCAAGTAGTTTCGCTTACCGGCCACACTTACCGTGTACTTTACCTGGCTATGAGTCCAGATGGCCAGGTAATTGTTACTGGCGCTGGTGACGAGACGCTTCGCTTCTGGAATGCTTTCAAGAAGAAGGAGCGCACTGGAGGCTTGAGTAGTATGGACAGTTGGGGCGTCATTCGTTGAACTGTTTCATCTGCTCTCGACTATCTTTGCTAATCTTTTGTGGTAGGGCTGTCACCGCAGCACCTCATCCAGACTCGACCCTACGAACAGGTCATATTCCGTTCAAGAGTCCAGCACCGACGCATACGTGCAGAATATCACAGCCAGTTATCGCTGAGATATTCTGCTTAGACCGGTGCTTGCAGTCCATCTCCTTGCTTTCTATTTTGACTTTAGCGGCATCTGTATGGTTACGACCAAATCTTTTTCGACATTTTCTCACGAGCATGGGCGGCGTTCCGGGCGTTTATTTTCGGTGGCTCGATACCACGGCATTATTGTTATCTCCAGACGGCGTTCGAGACGGCAGGGGTGCACTTTTGCAACCCCAGGTATTGGTGAAGAGGGGGATCCGTACCATCTAGAGGCGTCATGGGAAGGTCATCTGGGCACATCTGAAGGGGCTATTTTGTCTGCATTTGCTTCATTGGGCTTGGTTATGGGCTGAAGCTGGAGTTCAAAGGCGTATTTTCCAGCGATTTGCCCTTGGGTTTGGCAGCTCCGTGCTGTTCTGGCCTCGACTTTCTTCATGATCATGATTGTACTATAGTAGCTTAGCAATATCATGAGAAGAATATTGTGAACTTTACTGTTATTTAGTGTGCATTATATGTGAGAAGTGAAGGTCATTCTGCGTGTGTTGGCTTGGTGAGAGAAAAAAAGATCGAATCAATGTTCATTGCTATGTATAAAAATAAACAATACCATTACCAAAACCTGTTCAACACCCCTAACTGCACAGTCCGCAGCCTCCCCCGATTAGGATAACAATCGTCCCAAGGATCATCCACGCAAACCTGTCCCCGCCCTCTTACTTACGCGTCAACCCCGCAATCTCACCACACATGACGTCCACGACACAAGTACCCGGGCCACCATACCCCGGATCTCGGCGGACTCGCAATGCAGAGTTGATCAAACGGACAGGCTGGGAAGGGAGCCCAGCACAGACGCGGTTTGCCGGAGTGGGCTGAAGCAGCGCGGTAAAGAGTTGTTGGTTAAGGTTTAGGTTTAAGAGAAAAAAAGTTAATCACAGCTCTGGTTTAGGTTTTGTTAGTTACTAGCTTCCTAACTACATTTTTTTTCTTCTGGTTATTTGGCGAAGAACGTTGTTGTTGTTGTTGATAGAAGGAAAGGAGGAGGAGATCATCTTACACTCAGGACTGGTTTTTCACCACCGCATTTCTCGTAACATTGTAGTTTGGCGTTGTTGGCGCAGTAGCATCCTTCGGGGAAGGATTGGATACAGACTACTTCTGGGCACTGGCACTCTGTGGGGTCTGGTTCTGGGACGACTTCTCGCGGCGGGCAGGTCTGATACTTTGGTAGTTCGCCGCCGCATTTTTCGTAGCAGTTTTTCTTTGCGGTATTGTTGCAGTAGCAGGAGTCAGGCCAGGAGTCTAGGCAGACGACGGGTTCGCAGACGCAGGTAGACGGGGATGTAGGTGTGGGTGTAGGTGTTGACACGGGCGTTGGTGCTGCTTCTTGTGGTGCGCGTACCGCTATGCTTCGAGGAGGGCAGGTATCGTATGTTGGAGGAGTTCCGCCGCATTTTTCATAGCATGCTTTTTTCGCGTCGTTGGCGCAGTAGCAGGAGTCGGGCCAGGAGTCTAGGCAGACGACGGGTTCGCAAGTGCATGCTGCTTGTAGGTCGCGAGCTACCAATGCAAGGACACTTCCCAAGAAGGGCAGAATAAGGAAAAGCAACTTCATGTTCGAGATTAGTATTAATACTAAGTTGCTTCTGGATGTGCGATGAGGGTAGTGATTATGTAGCATCGCATGGGACATTCGTACCCGGCATTTATACATCAAGAGTATAGACCACGACCCTCAATATCGCACTTTCCGTTTAATCAACAAAGCATAGATGACATCCTTCTCACACCGCACGCCAAGCTGACCTCCACAAGTTCCGATTGGTGTGCAGACACTAACTTTTGGACTTTGCTCACGTCCCCGAAATTACCTTTTCGCGTGACGAACATCACATCTCGGCTTACTACTAGATTCACCGTCTTGGCAGCACTGTTTTTGCGTACGTAGCTGGAATTTGCCATGCTCCTTGGCAATCGAACACGCAGCTTTTAGCAGACTTGGAATATGCTGCTGTTCGTTGTAGGGATAATACGAGACATCCAACACTTAATTTTTGCACAGACTCCCGTCCTCTCGTAAGCAAGTAAGCAGAGTCAGCCAACCAATGGTTTACTTATTTCAACAGTGTTTCCATAGTAAATCAAAAATCGTCTTAAGAAAGGAGAACATAGCAAATGGTTCGTCGTCAAGCGACTATACCAAGACAGGTAAGCGATTTTGTGGATATGCAGGTGTGTTGGTTGGTTGCCGCAGTGGGGTTGCTGATCATGCAAGCAATATTTTCGGGTCCCAGAACCCCTATCCCCGGTCCTATACTACGTTCCAAGCCCCATTTATTATGTCGTCAATTCAGCTGAACGCCAACTCTTCGTTTGCGTTGAAGATGGCAACTTACATCATAGAATACGAGACTTTGTGCATGGGTATCTGTGAAACAAGAACGCAAGCCGGATGGTTGTTCATTACGTACGCCTTCTGAGCCTTTTACTCACCGCCGGGCTTCAGGTTTCCAACGGTTCGATGGCCCGGTGTGGTGCTGTCACTAGTCAGGCTTACAGATTTCGTACTTATGACTATGAATGCGACGTAGTAGTAAGTCCCTTCCAGTCAGCTGCGCCAGACGCCCTGGATCAATCCAATTAGAACACGATAGGCAAAATATACAATAAAATAATGTGAGCTTGCACAGGAGTCAAAAGGCTCCATAGTGGCTGACAGCGCTGGCGCCAAGTTCAAGGTCCACTGTCCTCGCGTCGGTTTCTATCGGTTCCTATGTGTTGTGCAACACAATAAGTTTTGGTGGGTGTTACACAACTCATATTGGCTGAACGCTTTTTGCTTGGTACAGCCCAGGTAAGATAGTCTGATATAAGCAAAAAGAAAAAAACGTCAAGCTGCAAATGGCAATACTGTCTATTGCGATTCTGAGTGGAGCAGAAAAGAGCTAGAAGAGTGAAGTGATCAGGAATTCCAAAGAAATCTAGGTTCCAGGTAGGCTACTCCGAGCTTTCCATGCTATCACTTGTTGGTGAAGGGAACATCCAGTTCCGAAAAAGTGCTCAGGTCCAAAGTCAACGCCAATGTGGTTCCCAGGGGTATATATCTCGAATACAATCAACAGTCCTCATATCTGGACATAATTAATAACAGCAACATCACCGATTACGATCAACGTCTTCGGGCGGAGATCGTTGAAAACCAGTAGTGTTCCGAACAGCGTCGAATCCACGCCATACTACGGTAGAAACAGACGAAGCTAACTCTCTCAGTGAGGAAACAGGACTTCGGTACGAGTCATCCCGCGTCCAACCAGCCTCTACATCGTCAGTTGGTCGGGGGCTAGTTTGTGCTGATCCGGGCGTCGGTACGGGTCGCGAAGCTGAAGGGGACATATCATGACTCTCAGCTGCTTGCGTCTGCACATCTTCACCGCCAGTAGGAGGCTGGGACGAGCGTGTTGGTGACGCTGACTGCAGTTGGTCATGGCGCCAGCTCAACGAACGTACGACATCGCCTTTGCAAATAGGGCATGTCCTCCGACGAGTGACGAGCCAAGGGGTACTACACACGTCAGACTAGTCCGTGGACAAACAAATGATGGAAAACTTACATGCAATCCGCATGAAACTCGTGGCCACAGGGTAAACTCATGACTTGGCTGACGCCATCGACATACTCTTCTAGACAAACGACGCATTCTTTCTGACGCCCGCCGTAGCGCCGTCTCCAGGCCGCTAGCCCTGACTCGCGTTTCTCTTGTTCGCGACCACGGGGGCCATGCTGCATGGACGACGAAGCGCCCGGGACGTCAGAATCCGATGAAGAACGCGAACGAGAGTCGAGAGACCTAGATCTAGAGGGCAGTGGTTGTAGTAGAGGGGTGGTTGGAGAATCGGCAGGCAGGCTTGCGGCAGAGGAAGAAGGAGAATCGCTAATGGTCTGATAAGTCCTGACAGGAAGACGCTCAACGACAGATTTAGGCGCTCGCCACCGGCGGCGTCGTATGCGAGATCGAAGAAGAAGAAGCACATATACGACGGTCAAAGTAACCAGTGGACTAACAACAAGCACAAGAAGAGTGTCGAAGAAAGGGCTACTCGAGACATTTGTCGGAGTAAGTGTGACCCAAAGTCCTTTGTGTTGCACTTGTGTGTTGATGTACTCATCGCTTGTAGGCAACTCGTTTCCATTTGAAATGGCTGCCATAGATGTTGGGTCCGCTGCTTTCTGACCTTCGTTGGCAGATGTCTGAGGAAGAGTATTAGGAACACGCCAATCTTGCCCACCAATCTTAGCATCGTTCGAACCCTTTTCAAGTATCGAAGAAGGAGCCACGCTCTTCGTCTTTATAGGCTTATCGTCGTTGTCCAAACTCTCCATCTCCAGCCATTCAACATTGCCGTCAGTTGGTGGTCGTCGGCTCTCAGCTTTGTGTGCGTTTTCACTGGAACCAGCCCTGAACAAAGCCATGAACGAGTGCAGCCAGCCTGTTTGGAACGTGGCAGTTGTTCCTTTGGGGGTCTTCTGATTGTACTTTTTATTATGAGCTGCAGGCCTTGACTCCTTCTGGGTGTAGTTTTGAGAATTTTGAGCGGCACCCGTGAGTACACGTTCGTTCGGTATGAGAGAAGATAAAAGATGGGCGGTCGTATGCGACGTGAAAAGAGACGGGATAGTGATGTTGGAGGTGTCACCTTTGGCGTACATCCTCACGAGCGCGCCGCCGCGAACATCATCACCCACAATGACAGCTATCCCACCACGCGACTGTGCCCACTGCACTTTGGCCAAGAAACCACAGCCCCCTCGCTTGAGAAGCACGATCTTGCCTATGATCTCTGCGCTCTCTTGAAGTGACTGGATATCAGCGTGAAGACCTCCTGGCTGTGCGTGCGCCTTGGAGCCATGGGGCTGCAAATGATCGTCTGTACCATCATCTGTGACGATGTCATCAGATGAATCGTGTCTGCTCTCGGGAACTCCATCCTTCGGGGTAACATCCTTGCCCAAAATGGTGTTCCTGAGTTTGTTTTTGGCGTTTGCGGTCGTTTGCGGGGTGGTAATAAAATCATCGCCGTTGTCGTGCCAGCCAGGTACATCGCTGCAGCCCAACTCGCCCTCCGCACCTATGGTATCGTCATCAAAGCCACTACCAACCCACAGAGCGCCGCTTAAGCCTTCCTTGGGCAGCGAAGGACCGAATGCGGCAGGCCGAGCGAGGAAGAAAGTCGAGTTGTCGTCGGTTAGGCTGATAATGGCAGACGGCGGGAATAGCGAGCCTGGGGAAGCAAACGAGAACAGGGCTTTGAAGCCGCCGGAACTTGAAGTGGATGTAAACCTCCCCTGCTCAGCATCCACAGAATTCCCTAAAACCATGTACAGGACGATGGTGAAAGCCGCAAGGCTCGTAGAGAGCGACACTATCAGGCGGAGTGGTCGCATGCTTGCGGTAGTTGTCGGATAGACGCAAGCTCGGAGGAAAGAAGCAGCAGCACGCGCTGGAAATCTAGCAGAGGAAATGCATGGACTGATATAAGCCAGCTGGGCGTGGTGTGATCTCTGTTGACTGTCACGAGGCGCAAGTTGAGGGCGGGGAGCGTGGACTACTGGATGACGCGGTACCAACAGTGGCGGGGAGACTGGGCCACTTTGCACAGTCGGGGTCGGGAGAAGGATCAACGCACAAGGAAGAAAAAGAAAAAAGTGATCAGGAAGCGGCACAGTGGATATGTGAAATATAGTAGGTAAGGCGGCTAGCGAAGAGCCGAAAGGCACCGTTTCACGGATCGCAAGCGGATGCTAACAGCAGCCCAACATGATGTCGCAATGGATGGGGGAAGGCGCTAGGGCGATCGGTCACGGGCGCATGTGACGATCACGCCCCTCAAGGTCAGAGCTAGAACCTACCACAATTGGGATCTAGGACTGATAGAGCCAATCGGTCTTCTTTTTCTTCCAACTACTTAGAACCTGTTCCTATAATTATTTTGCTTTGTAATGTCGATAAATGTATTTGCATCTGAAAAAAAAAACATTACTTCAAAAGAATGACGAATGAGGAAACCAGTACTTTACACTATCAGAAGATTAAGTTATCGTGGTTTCGCGAGAGCCTGTGTACTACTTGGATGCAGCTTAATGCGGGTTATTCTAGCATTCAGCATACATATTACACTACATGTGTCACGATACTCCGAACTTAGCCCAGGAAGGGCCACGTTCGGAGACCCGTTGGGGACCCCTTCGGCTAGAAGGACCAGAAGGGCCACAATCACGTGCGCAGGGTACATAGCTCCCATCCGAGCCCAGGGCAACTCCTCAAAAATTCGCCTTGATTCAACCCTAGCCAATATTTCTATCGCTGCCCGCGAAAAATCTCAAAAATTGACTACCTTGCAAGGCAAGGGTTGCTTGACATCGAGTAAGCATCATGTGAGCCATGGATCTTGGTTTTTGGGTAACCGTCTGCAAACTACACCCACTGTCATGAATTTAGCTCCAATACTCGTTGGATTATACCTGCGCATAAAGCAAAGTTATTTGTAATCTCTATTGGTAATCAATCTTACTGTAACACGTCGTTGAACCCAATTATTAGACATTGACGGCACAAATTTCGCATCGTATGATAGTAGTAAGCAGGAATAGAGCAACCGAGACGAGCTACCAAAGCGATTACAGATGCCCCCTATACGTTTCATCGATGCGTCCTAGAGTTTTACAGCAGAATACAGAGGTTGGCATCTCATTCGTGGTCGCTATCTCTAATTCCAAAAGGCATGCTACACCTCAAAGATGCATTCATACACATGTCGCTGCGTTCAAGGCCGCAATTATCCGCGGGAAATTGAGTTTGGAAATTTACACATACTTTGCATGGGTCACTCTGCATGACAAGGTCGAACGCAGCATGTCGGTGTGTGGTCAGTTTGTGCTGTGTTGTGTATATAGTTGCGTCTCTGCCTCCTTCATCCATCTTATTTATTTCCATTGTTACTACCGTATTCCGAGCCTTCCAGCCCAACAAATCTGATCTGCATCTCGCGATGTTAAAAAGTCAAAGAACTCTTTTGGTCGTGGCCTTATCCATCACACATTATGTGGAGGCAAGCAAGCTGCAAGATAGAAGCGTTGATCTGCCCGTTGCCGAACACGTCGTTCCTATTCGTCGTCTATCCTCTTCTTCTTCTCAGCTCTCTGGCCGAGACGAACTTCTCTCAAGCAACGACATCGCTGTTTCAGGGCGAACTGCTGGCTTGCGTAATACCCGCGATATTTTTGGAGTCGACGTCCAGGTCGGAGACCAAGTATCTACTCTGATTTTCAACACAGGGGTTCCATTTACTTTGGTCTTCGCTCCAGGGTTTCAATGCTTAGACACCGATGGGAACAAGTTGTAAGTACCCCAAGCTGGAAGCTGCTTCTACGCACTACGCCCATCTAATTACTATTTGGTGTTGTTATACAGTAAACCGGATACGTGCCCATTCACTGCCCACGATACCGCCAGTTTCTCCGGAGGCAAGATAGATGGCCCAATTCTGAATCTTACTTATGGAGATGGGACTGGTGCTTCAGGCCCACGAGGTTACGAAAAGGTCAGCTTGGCTGGAATTCATATTGATCGACAGGAGATCGCCATCTGCAACCGTGCTGTAGAACAGGATTGGACAACAAAGCCAGTGGGTGGTTTCGTGGGTCTGTCAAGCACCACCATAGCATCTCTTTATCGTCCTGACCGTTTCCAGGGTTTTCATTTCCAAACACCGATACTCAGCAGCTAAAGGCAAACTACTCATATGTCAGTATTCTACTTTTCAGAAATCAGTAGTCGACCCGCTTTATTGACCTCTTTCGTAGACACCGTGGATTTTCACAGCTTATGAACAAGGGTTGATTTATCCACCCGTTTTCTCTGTCGCCTTGAACCCTGTTTACAAGCGCTCAGTCGATTTTGCCAATAATGGTGCACTAGCTATTGGCGGCCTGCCACCAAACGTACCAACTACTGGATCATGGGCAATTACACCAGTGGTCAGCGATTTTGAGGACAAAGTAATCCGATACTGGACCATCATACCGGATGGCTTTACAGTAAAGTCGAAAGAGTTAGTATTCTTATAAACAGTGCATTTTGGTCACCTGTGAACTGACTAGTTGTAAAAAAGAAATCCGCGTGGCAAGTTTGTGCCATGGACTGAACAAGCGGGATACATTCCTGGACTTCGACGACTGCAGGTTGCCTCCAGTATTTGGGGCATCAACCTTCCAAAACCATATGTTGACGAGATCTACAAGTCTATTGATCCAGCCCCTTACCAAACAAAGGACGGGAGTTGGGTGGCTAACTGCAATGTACGTGTGCACATCAAATGAATAACGTGACAACTGGGTGTTAATACAGATTCCAGGCTTCTTATACGGATGCAAGTGTACGAATAGGAGGCGTGGATCTTTTGATCGATCGTTACTCGGTTATCACTTCACAGTTTGGAGACGATCTTGAACCGGGCCAGTGTTTCCTTGGTGTATACCCAGGCGGCTACTCTCTTGGAGCCAATTTCCTCAGGAGTGTTCTAGCAGTGCATGACATGACTAAAGGGAAGGAAAGAATGCTATTTAAGCAACGGGTGCTTCGGTTGCTTGAAAACTAAATTGCGACGAAGTAGTCGAGACATGGGACAGGATTGTGCGACAGGCGTCGACGTGTAACAGCTACTTGGCATAGAACAACTGCTATCAGGCTTTACCAGCGCCCCACACATTTCAATGCGTTAAATGCTACAATTTTTCACAAAACAGCGTATGCGAAAAACATTTGCCTGATGCATGTTGAAGAGTCCGCATACTAGAGAAGTAGTGTATCCCAAGCTAGACCTTGGCTGTAGCTTCAGCTGCAGATCAAGGTTACTTCCTGGAGGATCTTCATGTGACAATATTTAGCAAGTAGACACATGAATACCGGTAATAATGAATCAACAAAATCTTTGAAATGTGCTCAAGGGTTCGGATAGAAGCCATTTACCATGTATGTGACTATGGCTACTACATATTATAGCAGGAGGGGTATCCGGAAGTAACAGATTCGATATCACTTGTAGGCCACAATGTGAAGGAACCGTATTGCGGCTACCAGTCATGAATGATCTACGGGTGCCCTTTCTTCGCCTTGTTTGAAACCGTCTTTGAGATATCATCGTCGCATCAACATGGGTACTTGTGTGGCAAGCGCCACCTTCAAATCAGGTAGTGATTACATGCACTTTGGACGTACCTGCTGACTTCATTGTTGATATGTAGCCTTTTTTCATCCATTTCATTTTCTATTCTCTTTTTTAACTCCACCTCTCACGCACACAGTTCATCTCCAAACAACACCCACAACCAACTTGTACAATCATTTCACAATCCCTATCTCTAGCTCTACTATCACCAGACCTCAAATACTTTGCTACCAGCCCTAGTTCATCAACCTATCGCCTTTGCTGTTGCCTTCTCCTCCCTGCCTCTTCTTGACAGCATACACCGCGCATTCCCATAATCATGCCAACCACCAAAACAGGACGTTCAGCGGACCCAACCTACTCGGGGGAGCGAGGGCATGGCCTCAGAGGGCTTCCGGACAATACACGCCATCTGCTGATTACGTTTCTGGGCGAGCTAATCGGCACATTTCTCTTCCTGTTCTTCGCCTTTGCTGGTACTCAAGTTGCAAACAATCTCCGAAAGATCAACGGCACTTCAAACATGAATCTAGCTTCATTGCTGTACATCTCTCTGGCCTTTGGGTTCTCTCTAGCAGTCACTGTTTGGGTCTTCTTCCGCATCAGCGGAGGCCTGTTCAATCCTGCAGTACGTATTGCCTGCCTTCTTGCTCCGAGCTGGATCGCGTCACTGACACTACCTAGGTAACAGTCGCATTGGCCCTTGCCGGAGCAATTGGATTCATCAAGGCTTTGTTGCTCATCGTTGCACAGTTCCTCGGTGCTATTATAGCTGCAGCTATAGTCTCTGGACTCTTCCCTGGACCTTTGGCTGTCAACACAACCCTTAGTCCCGAGACTTCGGTGACAAGAGGATTGTTCATCGAAATGTTTCTTACTTTCATGCTTCTTCTTACAATCTTCATGCTAGCGGCAGAGAAGCACAGAGCGACGTTTCTTGCCCCGCTTGTCATCGGTCTTGCGCTTTTCATTGCTGAGCTTGCCGGCGTATACTTCACTGGAGCCTCCTTGAATCCTGCTCGTTCCTTCGGGCCTGCTGTTATCACAGGTGTCTGGCCTGGTTATCACTGGATCTATTGGCTTGGGCCTTTGCTCGGTGCTTTGCTGGCAGTAGGCTTCTACAAGTTGCTCAAGCTACTCAATTATTCGACTGCAAACCCAGGTGCAGACAGCGACGGCCTTGAGAAGCACCGCACCACAGCTCGATATGTCGCCACCGATGGAACAGTAGAGCGAGATATTGGGAGCCGAGGCCATCATTCTGAGACGATCGACCATCCCAATGACCGCCCGCGTGCGCATTACACGCATAGCTCTTCACGTTACGACATATCGTCGGATTCAAGCTATCGCAGCGGCCCAAGTGCAGAGTCTGGCAGCTTGGGATCGTAGACTGGCTCGTCAGCTAGCTCACGACATCGTCGGTTTTCTAGCTACCTCGACGATGTGCTGTATTCGACATGTTGTTACCTACCGTATTTTATACTTCAGTCTTGCTTCTGTCCGCATAAGTAGGTGAAAATTAGTAATTAGTAACAACATTAGTAACAACAATTGCTTTAATAACCGAGTGTGCGTGTGTGTTCTCAAGTTTTACGCCCTAAAGCCTCCTATAGGGTATGCGGACGGGTGAGGCCCTGGGCTTATAGCGCTGCTACGTTACCTAGTCATACCTATTCGCGGGGAGTGTCTTCTAAAGCACGATTTGTTTATAGCAACTGATCCGCCGGTTAAGCGGCTGCTATTGTCTTTTCCTTGCTAGAGGAGCGCTATTACATCACTATACTCAGCTCCGCCCATCGACACCGTCACGCAGCGTCAACGCGGGCGAAATGTCTGCGACGTCGTCCTCGTCCCCGGCCTCTGTAAACACTCAGCTCTCGACTAAAGGACTAAAGGACCAGAACCATCCACGCCTTGCTCTTATCGCTCCACAACCTTTCAAAGAACTCCCTCTGGTTATCGGCCGGTTCTCTGGCGTCGATAGCCTGGCAGATGCGGTCGATGTCAGCATTGAGCCAACGGCGGGTATCTTCTAAAACTAAGGCTTATCAAATAACTACGGCACTAGGATAAAGTCGTTAAATTTCTATTTACTCTACTATGTGGTCAACAAGATATTCTGGAAATATACACTACTAAAGTATATCGAGATACCCAGCATCTTTACAAATGTATTTTCGATATTTTTTAAGTTTTGGTTTCGCACTTATCTATTTCAATTTCTAAACGCGGAGCCGAAGATGATTTTTGCACTCCGTAGACGATGCCAAAGAGAAAGTTTACCTGAAGGTGCGGCAATATCCGCCAAGTCAATCAACGACCTAATGTGGACTAGCGCAACGCGTCGACGCGTTCCCTACTATCGCCCCGTAGTCCGGCAGTCGTATGGATACCGCCATCTCACTGCCGTTGCCATTGCACTCCTCAACACTTACCATAGTACTAGCAAAATGGCTCGCGGCGTCGAAGGAAACGAAATGTCAACGCCTCGCCCATCCCAAAAGAAGCAACCTTCCTCAGTCTCCCAGTCAGGGAAGGGCCAGAAATCAATTCTTGGTTTCTTCCAGAAGAAGTCTACAAATTCACCAAGCTCCGCACCGTCTGATGTCACACCAGTCCAAAAAACGCCTACTTCCAAAATTGCCTCCAAGGCCTTTACAAAGCCTTCCGCTGCCATCACGCCGGTTCCCAGCAGCGATGCTCCAGACTACTCAAGTCCTATCAAGCAAGACCGAGAGCTCACAGTGGGGCGGAACAAGGAGAATGGTTTGTCATTGCTTGCCAGCCAGCTGGGTTCATTCACTGAGCAATATTTCCAGAAATAGCGGACTTTACTCCTAGTAGCCCAACACGTAAAGTATGCCGACACACCATTGTATGCTTGATGGACATTATTCTGACTCTTACGGCAGGCTAGAAAACCCATCAATTACGCCGAGTCCGACGATGAAGATGAAGATGTACTCGGACCTATTGCAAACAACGCGAGGGGTCGGGCTACAAAGCGCCAGCGAGTGGTTGTCGACGACGATTCCGACGATGAGTTTGGTTTAGACGCTGCCACACAAAGAGCAATGCTGGAAGAGGAAGAGGAAGATGATGATGTCGATGATTTCATTGTACCCGATGATTCCGAAGAAGAAGTCGTATCGAAGAAGCGTAAACGCCCAACATCTACAAAGCCACGCGCCAAAGCCTCCCCGGCATCGTCACCACCACCTATTGTTAATGACGATGATGTCGAGGATGAAGCAGACATCATGATGAATAGCACATCTACAGCACAACAATGGATATACGATCCCGAGAATCCTACGGTATTCAAGCCACGAAAAGTGGTTCCTTCCTTGAAGAAGGAACTAAGCGTAAGAGCCAAAGCGAAGCCCTCTGCTTCAGAGCCTGAAGCAAGATACCCATGGCTAGCGAACATGCAAGACGCCGATCGCCATCCGCCCGACCATCCTGACTACGATCCCCGTACTTTGTTTATCCCGCCAGCTGCCTGGCGTGACTTCTCGCCCTTTGAAAAGCAGTACTGGGAGATCAAGAGCAAGTGGTGGGACACTATAGTTTTCTTCAAGAAAGGAAAGTTCTACGAGCTCTACGAGAAAGATGCATCGATTGGCCACCAGCTCTTTGATCTCAAGCTAACTGATCGTGTCAACATGAGGATGGTGGGTGTTCCAGAAGCCTCGTTGGATATGTGGGCAACACAGTTTGTGGCCGCTGGCTACAAAGTGGCTAGGGTTGATCAGATGGAATCCGCTCTGGGCAAAGAGATGCGCGAACGTGACGATAAGGGCAAAACACCCAAGAAAGCTGAGAAGAAGGGCAAGGAAGTCATCCGCCGAGAACTGGCCACTGTTCTGACGTCAGGTACCCTCGTCGACACTGGCATGCTCCAGAGCGAAATGTCGACCTACTGCATGGCGATCAAGGAGATTGACCGGGACAATTTGCCTGCTTTCGGAATCGCGTTTGTTGACACTGCGACCGCGCAGTTTCAGCTCTGTGAGTTTACAGATGACATTGACATGACCAAATTCGAAACTCTCATTGCGCAAATGAGGCCTGGCGAGTTGCTCTTAGAAAAGTCATGTGTTTCAGCAAAGGCGCTTCGTATTCTGAAGAACAACACTGGACCAACCACCATCTGGAATTGGCTGAAGCTAAACAAAGAATTCTGGCCAGCTGATATCACGATCCGAGAAATCGAAGCCAACAACTATTTTGAGTCACCAACAGAAGACAACATCGAAGCATGGCCAGCGGTGTTGCGCGAAGCCCGCGAAAAAGAACTTGTCATGTCCGCATTCGGTGCTCTCCTCCAGTATCTGCGAACACTGATGATTGAGCGCGATCTCGTTACGCTCGGCAACTTTCAGTGGTACGATCCTATTCGCAAAGCGACAAGCTTGGTGCTCGACGGACAGAGTTTGATCAACCTGGAAATCTTTGCAAATACGTTTGATGGAGCGACAGAGGGCACATTGTTCGCTATGTTGAACCGCTGCATCACACCGTTTGGCAAGCGACTACTCCGGCAATGGGTTTGTCATCCACTGGCAGACGCACAAAAGATTAACGCTCGCCTTGATGCCGTGGATGCGCTGAACAAGGACTCGGCCATTATGGAGAACTTTAGTGGCTCACTGAGCAAGCTGCCAGATCTTGAGCGTCTTATCTCCCGGGTACATGCTGGTCGTTGCAAGGCACAAGACTTCCTCAAGGTCTTGGAAGGTTTCGAGCAGATTGAGTACACCATCAGCTTGTTAAAGCAGTTTAGCGAAGGAGAGGGTGTTATTGGCCAGCTCATTTCATCAATGCCGGACCTAGCTGCATGTCTCGAGAAGTGGAAGTCTGCCTTTGACCGTGAAGCAGCTAGGAAAGATGGAATCCTGATCCCCGAAGCTGGCGTTGAGGAAGACTACGATAACAGCCAGGCGGAGATTGATAGTTGCGAGGCCAATCTCGAGACGCTGTTAAAGAAGGTGCGCAAAGAACAGGGTTCAAACGCAATCATCTACAACCACCTCGGAAAGGAGATTTATCAACTCGAAGTGCCGAAGAAGGTCAAGGTGCCCAATAGCTGGGATCAGATGTCAGCTACAGCCAAGGTCACTCGCTATTACACGCCCGAGTTGCGGAAGCTGGTGCGAGCATTGCAAGAAGCGCAAGAGACTCACGGCCAGATCACTCGCGAGGTTGCAACTCGCTTCTGTCAGCGCTTTGACGAAGACTACAAGATTTGGCTTGCAGCAGTCAAAATCATTGCCCAGCTCGACTGCCTCATCAGCCTTGCAAAGGCGTCTGCGTCACTGGGAGAGCCAAGTTGCCGGCCCGTCTTTGTAGAGGGCGAACGAACCGTTGTCGAGTTTGAGGAACTTCGCCACCCGTGCATGCTCAACACTGTTGATGACTTCATTCCCAACGATATCAAGCTGGGCGGTGACGAGGCCAATATTAGCTTGCTCACGGGTGCCAATGCAGCTGGTAAATCCACAATCCTGCGTATGACATGCATAGCCGTTATCCTCGCTCAAGTGGGTTGCTACTTGCCGTGTACATCGGCCAGACTCACTCCTGTCGACCGTATCATGTCTCGTCTGGGCGCAAATGACAACATCTTCGCCGCCCAATCCACCTTCTTCGTTGAAATGTCTGAAACACAAAAAATTCTATCGGAAGCGACATCGCGATCACTGGTCATTCTCGACGAACTTGGTCGCGGTACCTCATCCTACGACGGCGTGGCAGTCGCACAGGCCGTGCTGCACGACGTTGCAACAAGAGTGGGATGCGTGGGCTTCTTCGCCACGCACTACCGGTCGCTCGCCAAGGAGTTTGAGTTCCACCCCGAAGTACAGAATAAGCGTATGCGTATCCACGTTGATGACGAATCTAAATCGATTACCTTCTTGTACAAGCTTGAAGAGGGAGTTGCAGAGGGTAGCTTTGGTATGCATTGTGCTGCCATGTGCGGGATCCCGAGCAAGGTCATTGAGGATGCGGAGAAGGCGGCTAAGGAGTGGGAACATACGAGCAGGTTGGGCGAGAGGATGGAGGTGAAGAAGGATGAGGGTGGCGTGTATGTGCCGCTGGGTCTGCAGAGTGATGTTGCGTGGGCGCTGCGAGAGGGGTTGGAGGGAGTAGGGGAAAGGGCAATGGATGTGCTGCTTGAGGCTATTGCTGCGCTTTGAGGAGTGGGAGGGGTTTGTGGATGTTTTGTAAGATGGAACAAGTGGGTGCCATATAGTGTCAAGGTGGTGACAGGTGTGTACCTGTAGACATGTGGTCTGTATTTTTAGCGATTGTGCATTTCTTCTTCTATGGGTAGATAGAAAAATCAACACAAGGGTGTTGATGTGCATTATACGTGCATCATCGTCGTATTAGCGACACCTCATAGTAGCCTGTCACAAGAATAATATCTATACTGGATGTAATCACTTCATTATGCAATGGGTGTGAAGTAGCTGCATCTGCCTAACCCACCTCCATACTCCCATGACCATCCTGAAACATAGAGCCTGAAAATCCTCTCCATCCATATCCCTCGCAACCTGTCTTGTTCGTGGTCACAAAGCAACAAACTTGCATAAAGGACTTTAGTTCCCACCACCACCACCAACAGCATACGCCTCGATCCCGCTCAAAAACCCATAATCCTCACTCTCCTCCTCCTTCTTGACACCAGGCACATCGCACTTAATAACCTCGTCATCATCCTCGACATCATCCTCGCGCCGCAGCATCTTGCCCTTCTTACTGGGCGTCGCATCCGCCGCCGCCGCCGCAGCAGCAGCAGCAGTGTTCTTGCGCTTGCGAGGCGTAGATGCAGGCGTAGCGGCTTTCTTCTTGGGCGTGGACTTGGAGGGTGTGCCGGGCATGCCGGGCATGCCGGGCGTGCCGGGCGTGCCGGGGGTGTCGTGAAGAGACCCGCCAAGAAGCTTGATCTTGGATTTGATTCTACCGAAAGTGACGCTGGCGCTGGCGGGAGTGTAGCCGGCGAGGGCGCCGAGTTTGACCATGTCAATCTGGAGGTTTTTTTTTGTCAGTGGGTTGCAGGGAGGGATGACGGGATGGAAGTGTGTACCTTGGGCTGGGTTTCCATGCACTGCCATGCGAGGGCGAGGACTTCCATCTCGCGCGGAGTGAAGCTGACATCCTTGGAGTTGGAGGGTGCCATGGTTGGCAGTGTTGATGGTGTTTCTTTGTAGATGTCACAAAAGCCGTGGGTAGAGAAGATATTGTATGAAAGCAGTGGAAGTTTTAGGCGACAGAGTAAACAGGGTGACAAAGTCTTTATATGCTGATGTACTGGACGCTAACGAGTCACCAGGTGAAAGGTGAAGCGGAATTAAGCGTGCTTGATACTCACAGTGAAAACGTGCAGGGAAACCTAAAGAGGACTAAACAGGCGCTTTCACCTCACCTTTAAGTATGTTTACTAAGCAGTGAAGAACCACGTAGAAGAGTGAGAGTGATTAATTGGCTGCACGTGAGATGATCCCCGGGTGTGTATGAAACAGTGGATTTATTCTATTGTCGCGGGTGCAATATGCACTGCATGCAACGTGGCATAGTAATGCTGCTATATCCGGCGAACTTCTTTGCCTTGAAGCTCCGGTCTCTCCACATCCAGCTCATCTCTCAGAGCTGCATATAAGGAATCACCCAGGATGATGGAAAGGCCCAGACTCCAGACCAAGGTGATAGCATAAAAGAAGTTTGCATTTCCCGAGCCGGCATACACCCACAAATGGTAGAATGCAGGGCCAAGGAAGGATGTGTAGAGAATGCTGGCTGACGCAAGGAAAGTGTAACGCATGACTTGGGTTCAGTTAGTAGGATGGTCACGTGTCATAGGGAATAAGATACTTACGAGGGAACAAATGTCGGAACATGGGGACCAAGGACAGATACAAGGCAGCATCGGCTATGCTTGGGTATGGAGTGAAGATGGCAAAGACGCCAGTCAATGAGCAAGCAACAAACAAGGGCTGCTTGTGGAGGCGGATAGTCAAGCCTGGCATGTACGAGGCGGCATGTAGCCAGAAGACGCCTAGGAAGAACTCGCGGAAAGAGTCAAACATTTCAATGAAAAAGTACCACCAGAGGCCGACATTGGGTGTCAGATCTGGTAGCAAAAGACGCACACCATACGTGGCAGCCAAAAAATCCCAAGAGCCGGTCAAGAAAGCAGAGCCAACCAGCAAGGCGCCAATTGCGACTGCGAGACCGAGTGTATGTACAATGACAAACATGGGGAGATGCGGGGCTGACTTTTTCTTGAGGGCTTTTGCATCGTACAGCAGAACCATGAGGGGCGGAAAGAGCAGAACGGGATGCATAGCAAGGTACGATGCAAAGGCCGTGGCCAGAATGAATGTAAAGCTGGCGCCCTGAGAAGCCTTTGCCATGGCAGTGAGGATGAAAAGGTTGGTCAGGGCCGAGGTTGAGCGGGCGAGACATGTTGCGACGGTAAAAGGATTGAATAAGAAACTGGTGGATATGTCAGCATAGGGTCCATGAAGAGGAGGCATAGGCAGTACCCAGCTGCAATGGCAGCATTACTCCACCTCAGGTCCTTGCGCGGGGAAACAAACAGTCGTGTGACCGAGGCGAAGCCCGTGTCTGCCAGCTGGGCTAATGAATGCGCGCTCAGCAGGTCGACGAGGGTGAAGAAGACGTAGGACGCAAGAGGGGCTACGGCGGGATGGGACAGCAGGGCAAAGAGCGGCAGTAGGAGGGGCGCCTGGTGGTAGACGCCACCGTCGTAGGGCGAGACATTGTGCGTGTAGAGGAAGAGACCTTCTTGGACTGCGTGGTGTTAGCAATGGCAGAGAGAGGCCAAGGTAGACATGGCAGGACATACGCCGCTTGAAGCTTGTCACCGGGGTAGAGACCTCGACGCGGCCGGCCAGGACGTCGGGCAGGGTGGGGAAGAGGGTGAAGAGCAGCAGACGGACGGCAGCAGCAGCGGCGAAGAGTAGCAGGCGGTGCTGGCTGTCAATGGCCATGGCTTGAGTCGCAGCCGACGTGGTGTTGTGGCAGGATATCCATGCATCCAGCTATGTCGTCGGTAGTAAGTAGGATGCATGGCGGCGGGCCCTTGTCGCCGCTAACGCCGCAATCCCTGTCTGCTAGCCGCTGCATCTCGAACTTTTTTGCGCCCGCCCAAAAGTTGCTCGCCTGGCACCGACACAAACTGCAACAACCTTACAACCACTGCTCCTCATCATGGCCGGGCGCAGCAAGAAGAAGGGTGAGTATCTGCCACTGCTCCTCGACTGAAAACACAACGATGCTGATCCGTCCCACACAGGCACCTCCGGGGCCGCCAAAAACTACATCACCCGCACGCGCGCCGTCAAGAAGCTCCAGATTTCCCTCCCAGATTTCCGCCGGCTATGTATCTTCAAGGGCATCTACCCCCGTGAGCCGCGCAACAAGAAAAAGGTCTCGCGCGGCTCCACAGCTGCCACCACCTTCTACTACACAAAGGACATCCAGTATCTGCTCCATGAGCCGCTGCTGGCAAAGTTCCGCGAGCACAAGGCCGTCGCAAAGAAGATTGGCCGCGCCCTCGGCCGTGGCGAAGCTGGCGATGCATCGCGCCTTGAGAAGAACCTCATGCCCAAGGTCAAGCTCGACCACATCATCAAGGAGCGCTACCCCACCTTTGTCGACGCTCTGCGCGACCTCGACGACGCCCTATCCATGCTGTTCCTCTTCGCCAACCTGCCCTCGAGCGAGCACATTCCCGCAAAGACAATTGCCCTCTGCCAGCGCCTGACGCGCGAGTTTGAGCACTACGTAATCACCTCGCACTCGCTCCGGAAGTCATTCCTTTCCATCAAGGGCATCTACTACCAGGCTACTATCCAGGGCCAGGACATTCTGTGGCTCGTTCCCTACCGCTTTGTCCAGCGCACTGGAGGAGACATTGACTTCCGTATCATGGGCACCTTTGTCGAGTTCTACACTACCCTCCTTGGTTTCGTCAACTACCGTCTATACACCTCCGTCGGCCTCGTCTACCCACCAAAGTTCAATGCCAAGAGCGACGAGCAAGGTGGAGAGTTGTCTGCCTTCCAGCTCCAAGGCAAGGTCAATGCCACAAACGGTACCGCCAATGGTGATGCCGAGCATGCTGACATCAACCCGGAGGCGCAGGCAATCGCCGACAAACTTGCTGCCATGCCTGACGATGAAGATGCCCAGGAATCAACAGCCCTAACCAAACGCAGTGAAGACGATGAAGAAGAGGCCAATGACGAGATTGACAAGTTCGAACCAACTGCGCCCGACGCCGATATCCTGCCCCAACCACAAGCAAGCAGTGCCGAGGTTGCTTCGCTGTTTGCTCCCTTTACCTTCTATCTCTCGCGAGAGACACCCAGAGCACCGCTCGAGTTTATCCTTAAGGCCTTTGGTTGTAAGCGCGTTGGTTGGGACGGCACTCTCGGCGACGGCGCCTTCACCACAAACGAGTCCGATCCCAACATCACACATCAGATTGTTGACCGACCAGCGTTATCAAACGGAGCGTCTGCACAAGATAGCAAGAATGGCGATGCTGTTGTCCCCAAGGCCCAGTGGCCCTATTCCATGATGCCTGGTCGCACCTATGTCCAGCCGCAATGGGTCTGGGACTGCATCAACCAGAGCAAGCTGCTGCGTCCTGACCACTACGCCCCCGGTGCCGACCTACCCCCACATCTGAGCCCATGGGTGAAACCCAAGAAGGGCGAGTACGACCCCAACTTGCCTCTTGCAGCTCAACAGCCTGAGGGCGAGGCCGAGGCATTCGAAGACGAGGACGAAGAAGAAGATGCCGCCGTGGATTCAGATGGCGACGAGAACATGGATGCCATTGTTGACCGCGACGGTTCCGTTGAGATTGGAGAAGGCATGGATGTCGCCGATTCTGAAGACGACAGCGATGACGATGACTCGGATGAAGAGACTGGTGCTGCTGACGATTTTGACGGCTTTGACTCAGATGCTGAGTCGGATATCTCCGAGGGCGAGGCTGCCCGTCTTCAGCACCAACGTGAGCTCGAGGCTGAAGCCCTAGGCAAGAAATTCGAGGTCAAGAAACCAACAAAGAAGGAGCAGAATGCGGCCATCCGCAAAAAGGCCGAGAAGAAGAGGCGTGAACAAGAGGAAGAGCGCGAGAGGCAAAAGATGATGTTGTCAAACAAGAAGCGCAAGTTGCTGAAGCGCATCGAGTACGGCGAGAACAAGCGCGATAATGAGTCCGAGAACCTGCGCAGGAAGCGCGCAAGAGTTGAAAAGGCAAAGGCAGCTGCAGAGGCACTCTAGGCGTATGCATATCTACATGACAGCAAAAAAGCAGGGCAGGTCGGCGTTGATTGGGACGGTGTTGTAGGCGCTCTACTCACGTATTTTCGAAGTTGCTCTATGTAGTCGATTTTAAAAAAAATACCACCATTGACTGTTGTTGTCTACTACTACGGTCGTTTTATCCTTCTTGTATGTTTTCGACTTGGCATAGTAGTTGGTCAAAACGCGATCAATGATCCTCAGCGTGACCCACCCCCCCCAAAAAATGACGGAAATGAAACTGCGAAAGCAGGCAGTAGAACGAGATGTGATAATGCTAAAACTCCCCAAGCCTGGCCATTCATATATCAAGAAGTCTAGGCATTTTCTTTTCTTTTGGCCAGTATAACTACGCGCCCGTTTAGCTAACTTGTAAGCGTCAGGTATATCTGCCAATTGCCTTTCGACACGGACAACCATATGATGGGCCAGCCAAAACAAAAACGGGTGCACCGAGGCTGGGACGTCTATTTTCGCATTTTGTCGAGTCTCTGCCTTTACATCTTTGTGTGTGGGGAGGGGATATATTCAGGAACCGTGGTTTGGGTGAGGGTTGGTCCTAGCTCTTTTGGCGAAGGGGGGGATGAGGGGGGACGGGCCAGGTACCGTTATGTACGTGCAATGGTGAAGTGTACTTTTGGTTTACCTGCGGGGTTTTGTGGACCGTTATTGGTTTTCTGGGGTTGAAGAGTGGGAGTGGAGGTGGAGGGGAGGTGTCGAGGAAGGAAGACATTGTGGGGGTTTGATGTAGACGCACTTGGGTAGGAGTGCGCTTTCAGGCGATGAAGCTCGACTTCCCTATATGCAGTCTTATCCTTGGTGAAGACGATACGATAGAAGTGAAATGAAAATTTGTAATCAAGAGGAATGTGATACGATAGTCATTGTGCGGGAAAGGACTCAGTTGAACCATGGTTCTGAGCGCGGGTCGTCGCGCATTTCTGTCCAGAGCAATGAAACGTATTGCGTATACATTGGAACTTGAACGTACCTACGGTTCTGAAAGCTCTCGAACCCGTGCAATCTCAGGGTTTATTACCCAATGTCCTGGTCAACGCTGTACATAAGAACTGCCATGTCCGACATTCCTTATCTTTCGATCCTTGAGTAACCTCATGGTTTGACGACGAAGCCCCCAGTGCCTTCTCACAATATCCACCCCATTCAACAACTAAACCGCTGACTCATAGCCGGTCTGTTGAATTTATCTCATGTACCATGTGAACATCTTTGACTGACACAAACACAGATCATGGCTACGCACCTCCGGAAGAGCAGCGACGCCTCCACTAGCCGCAAGAAGCAACCAAACGATGACATCGAAATGGTTCCCACACGGAGTGCAGAAACAGGGTCTAGCGGCGCCTTCAAGCTCGACGAGGCGAATTCCGTGGAAAAAACGGGATACATGTTCTCCACGAAGAAGAAGTGGCAGATACTGACCGTCGTAGCTTTGTGCCAGACCAGTATGAGTAAGTGAACCAAGTCACTTGCAAAACATCGAAGCTACGAAGAACTAACTTTTGATTAGATTACAACGCCGCGGTCTACTCAAATGCCATCGGGCGTCTCAACGAGCATTACAATCTCGGAACCAATCACTTCACCAACGCCAGAGCGGGAATGGCGTGGTTTCTGATTCTGTATGGCTTCGGGTGCGAGCTCTGGGCTCCTTGGTCCGAAGAGTTTGGCCGATGGCCCATCATGCAGGCGTCGCTCTTCACTGTCAATATGTGGCAGATACTTGCCGGTGCCAGTACCTCCTGGCATCAAGTCCTGATTGCACGTCTCTTCGGTGGTCTTTGCTCTGCAGGCGGCTCAGTGACGCTGGGAATGGTTGCTGACATGTTTGAACCCGAAGACCAGCAGATGCCCATTCTCTGGGTCAGTCTGTGGAGTTGCTTAGGCTCTGGTACGTCGAGTGATTTGCTTGATATTGAACTAGACTTACTAACGCCTTGCTAGTTATCGGTGGTATTTGCGGTGGTCCCATTGAGCAGTTCCTGAGCTGGCGCTGGAACTTCTGGATCCAGCTGATACTCGGTGTTACTGTCCAGGCCATCCACGCATTTTACGTCCCAGAAACCAGAGCGACGGTTATGCTTAACAAAGAAGCGAAGAGGCGACGCAAAACCAATCCCGACGACAATGTTATTGGACCCACTGAAGAGGAAAAACTCGACTGGAAGAAGGTAGGAAGCATTATGGGCCGTCCATACAAGATGCTAGTCTGCGAGCCAATTGTTGCTTTTTTGTCGTTGCTGAGCGGGTTCAGTGATGCACTCATCTTCAGCTTCCTGGAGTCATACGGCTATGTGTTTGGTAAGAGTGGGTGGGGATTTACACCCAGCCAGCTTGGACTTGCACTATTTGCTCTCTTTATTGGCTACTGGCTAGCAGGAGCAATCTATTTCCCTGTTATCAGACGTCACAACCAGATACGTGCACGCGGCACGGTACTGAGTCCTGAGAGTCGACTCTCAGCTCTTCGCTGGGTGGTGTTGCTACTGCCAATCGGCTTGTTTGGATCAGCTTTCGTCGTCACGGGACCGCCTCTTCCATGGATTGCACCGCTCATCTTTGCAGTGCTTATCGGCTGTGCCAACCTTGCAATCTACTTTGCCACAATCGACTACATGGTGGCCGCCTACGGCGGAGAGTATTCTGCTTCGGCCACGGGAGGTAATGGTTTTGCCAGAGATGTTCTCGCTGGTATCTGCTCTTTCTACACTGGGCCAATGTACAAGAGGCTTGGTGTCAAAAAATCTACGTGGGTACTTTTTGGAGTTTCTGCGGGCGTCTGTATACCAGTATTTTGGATCTACAGATGGGGGCCTCGGATCAGAGCTCGCAGTAAGTATGCGGAGCAGATCCAGGAGGAGCGGGAGAAGAATATTGCAGCGAAAGAGGCAATGCAGGCCAGGCGGGAGGCTCTACTGCAGATCAACAGTGTACGAATATAGAAGAGGGGAGTGGAGATATGGTACATAATCATAATCGGGAGGCGACCAAGCCGATCCTATGTTGCGCACAGACCACCTTACCAAAGGGCGCAGTTCGCTCGTAACCAAGACGTGCGATCACTAGACGCCTGATGAGTCAAACGATCAAGAGCCGTGATATCTATAAGTGCATGCCTTTAGAATCTTCTTGGTTGTTTCTTTCATTCCTACCTAGCCCGTACTAACTCAAATCAACAACATGTAGTAACTTCAAAGTTCGCGAACCACTTAGTACACCAAAGCTCCTTGTACCCTGTCCAACCGCATCCACCCTGAACCCTGAACGAACCCAGGTTCACACATTATCAGCACAATGTGGCTTCCTACTTGATGTATTGCATCTCTACATGGCAGCGCCCAAGTAGCACGACTCTCTACCCCGTCCTCGGACAGCAAAAAGAATCCCCGTATGCAAAAAGTATCGGTATATTAAAGAGCCGCGTCACTCGTCAAACGCGCATAGTAGTACAATCGAGCTCCACCATCGTCGCCGCTTCCTAAAACCGCAAGGTGCCGAGCCGCTGCCGGGGGGAACCACTCCGGAAAAATTGCTCAACAACAAATTTTCTGGACTGCATTTTGCAGTTTAAAACTTTTCCTTCTCAGAGGTATACGAGATATTGTTCAGAAATATGCCAGAAATGCTGCTGACATTTTGTGAGCCGTGCGGCTTCTTGTATTCACCCCGGGCAACAGGCAACTCCGTCACGTGATTGGTCACTCACCGCACGGCTATTGTTGTATACGACGAACAAGAGGTTGTCCTCGAACCGTTCACTTTGGTATTATCCCACGATTTTTTAAGCCAAGAAGACCGGCAACGCGTTTCGTAGCCGGCACTGCCAACTCGACAAACCCGTCTCACACTTCCCATCTTGGCCACACCCGCCACCATTTCCAAGGAGAGAAACACAATCGACATAACGAAACAAAATGCCTTCAACACCCCAACCCCTCTTTCCGGATCTTCCCCCTGAACTCCGCAACGAAATCTACACATACCTCTCCTCCCCAAGCCCAGATTCCCAACTTTTAAATTCGCACCTCCCCCTCGCCCTCAAAACCTTCACCTGCAAACACACGACCATGCATCTCTGCCCCGCCCACCACGGCTCCACCAGCCTGCTCTCTCTGTCCTCGCCAGAAGCCCATGAATACGCCTCGTGGCTGCTCAGCAACGGCATCGCGCTCCACATAACCATCCACTTCAATGGCCGCATCAACACGTTCACGCTTCCCCACTGGTCCAAAAAAGTATCTACCCACCTGCACAAACTGGCACGCCGCCACCCTTGGTTGGCAAAAGTAGCAAGCTACAAGATCGATGTGCTATGGGATCCGCTCGACGGCGCACTCCAGAGTCGACAGCAGAAACGGCGAGCGGCGCATGTGCCGCTGGATATGGCGGACGCGCTTACGCAGCTTATGCAGAGAGATGTCAAGGCTAAGCAGGGGAGCGTGGCGTTAAGGGTGCATTTTGAGCAGCGGTTTGCGGTCCTGAATGCGCTTGCGGCGAGGAAATTCGGTGTTGGCGTTTTTCTGAGGGATCGGGAGAGGTTACGCGGATTCAAGAGCGTGCTGAGGGAGGTGCGTGTAGTGCCGCCTAGGATTGTGCCGGAGAGGGAGTTGGGTGCTGCGTCTGCGCCTGCGCCTGGGTTGCGGGTTGTGCCATCGGTGGGGTCGGACGAGCAGGAGGCGTTGATGGTTGTGGAGGAGGGCGTGGTGAAGTTGTCGGAGCGGACGCGGGGGCAGATGGTTGTTAGGAGGAGGACGAGTGGTGCGGCGGATGGAGTGTGGGAGTATGGGAAGGGGGAAATGGAATTTCCCGTTTGTCAGATATTGGAAGAGTGTATGGAATGAGGTATGGGTGTTGGACTTAAAAGATTTGATATCCTTGAACAATGATGCTATCGCAGCATTGGTAGTATTTTACGACATGAACGCTATTTCATTTCGTTCAAAAGGATAACGCATCAAGCCATATTGTCCCGTGTACCATTTCGTCTACGTCCCCATTCTACCCCAATATCCTCCATACTGACCAACACCTTACGCCCAAGCCCCCACCAAACTCATCAAAAACGCCCCCACGAACACCAACAAACAAGCATACACCCTGCGCTTGCCCCGAAGTACCTTCCAACTCTCATCGCTCAGGAAATCCTCCGACATGAGTTCAACCAGCGACGCATAGACCAGGAAACCCGCAGAAATAGCATTCATGATGCCAACTACAAGAAGTCCGATTTCGGAGTCGGGCGAGTAAAGCGTGTGGGTAGCGATACCAATGGCCATTCCACCTGGTGTACTGTGTGACATGTTCAGTATATGGAAGTCGGAAGGGGGGNCAAGAGAGAAGACTTACGTGCAACCGTATGCGAGAGCCATGAGCCATGGCTGAATAGATTTGGGACCCCATTTTATATCTGCAATGCGTACACCAAGGGCGAGGCCTTCAAATGTTTCTGTGATGTTTAGTATGGCAAGATTTTGGTGTACAAGTTAAAAACTTACGGTGGAACACAATGGCGATGAGCAAGACGGTGAAATCGTTGCCTACAGAGACGGCCAGGGACATGCCGATGAAGATGCTGTGGAACAAAATACCCATTTCCAGGAGAAAGACCTGCATGACGGCTTTGCGATGGATCTGCTCAGGTGAAAGGATATGCTCATGGTCACCGCTTTCATGGTCGGGTTGAGGAGCATATTCGGTGCTTTCCACCTTTTTGAGTGCAACTGGCGCTTCGCCGATTTCTGATCCACCGGTGGATTCGATGGCGTCGAGTCTCTGGCCATCTTCGCGGTAGCGGGACAACGTTCTACTGATGCTCCCGACTCTGCCCTTCAACGCACCAAGATCACGGACGCGCATGCTTGATTCCGAGTAGGTTCGCTCCAGGCCCATCTGCGGCGGAGTAGGCTGCTGTTCCATTTCCGCATCAGGCGTCTCCGCATTAGGCGCCTTTTTAGGGCGCGAGACGGCTGCTACACCCTCATTACCACCGCAGACATGGCGAGCGGGAGAAAAAGTCATTTCAATCACAGTGACGAAGAAAACGCTAGCTAGCATAATGGCGCCGGGCATGGCCTGGTAGTCTGTAGTCCAGAAACTCGACAGGCAAGGGTCGCCCAGCGAACCAAAGGCCGTGGGGAGTAAATGCACAAAGGCGGTTGCGACGAGGACACCGGTACCAAAGTGCTTGGCGCCAAAGAGAAAAGACGGGGGGATGCGCAGACGAGGAAACTTGAGTACGAGCATGGGAAAGGCACAGCCTGTTCCCGAAACGAAGAGAATAATGAAAAGACCGCCAACATGAAGGGCGAGGTCGTATTCCGGGTGCGCCTTGCCATCTTCACAAGTGCTTCGTCTAGGAAGCCGTTGAAAGGGGGCATCTGCATAAAACAAGTTAGCAATAGAAACACAGACAAAATAGTGGCGTGAGAATGTCTACTTTACCTTGAGATATAACGAACTTGGGCGCAGTCAAGTTGCCACTGGCATAAGAAATAAAGATTGAAGTACAAAGTACGGAGACCAGCCATTTGGCCCAACCGACGACAATGTCGGTGAGGATAGCTTGGCACTTGGTCAAATGCGTGGTTGTTCGGGTGCAAGGTCCTACAGCCGTGGAAAAAAAGTAAATTGTGTCAGCGCGGTGTACCAAATTTTTTTTCTCGTTTCAACATTTGAGAATAGAAGAAGAAAAACATACCTTGTGAGGACTCTTTGACACCCCCGCCCATGGCGATGGCTTTGTCCTTGTCTATTTCTTGGCCATTGAAATGGTCGACTTGGCAGGCTCGCAAGTTGCGTGTCGTGCACAGCTGATCTGCTTCTCCCAGCTCCCGTGCGTTGGCAATGCCGTTGAGATCAGCGCACGTTGTGAGATCAGCAGCGAAGCGTGGTGGGTTCTGGTTCCATCCGGGGTGCCAGAGGATATCGTCGTCTGTTCTGGACGGGCAGTTCATGTCTGCAGAGAATACGAGCAAGGGTGGGAAGTAGCTAGGCCTTGATTTTCAGAATCGACAAGCAGGAAAGAAGGATTGGGCGTGGTTGACGTGTCGGTCTACTTGGAGTCGAGGGATCAAAGGCAAGCAAAATCTCCAGGAAGACGAAGTGTCGTGTGTATAACTACAATACGACGGTGATGGGGAGTTGTTCGGGCTATATGACATGGGGAGAACCAGTCGATTGGCGGCTAGCGGCTCTTCCGCACCGTCATCGTCCAACCACACGGCGGTGCCCTGGCCGCCAAGGCACTCGACCCCGGAGTTTGACTGCCAGCGCCACACGCAGACAGCCACACGGGTGCTCCGTTTTGACATGGTGACGATGATGACGAGACTGGTCAGACTCTAGATGTGCTTTGCTGCTTTGCTGAGAAGTGTTTAGTGCGGCCTGAGATGTAACATTTGCTTCACTGCAACATGGAGCAGCCGACAGTTAGTCGGCTACAACGGCTTCTGATGGATGCATGACGATGCGCGGCCGGTGGGCTATTGTTCAAGAAAACATCAGGTCCGACGTTTCCCGACAGCCGTGTGGAGACATACCAAGACGAGAAAGATGGGGCCAGACAAACGTCAGATGCAGTGCTCTCACACGCTGATCCCATCTCATGCCGCTTTACAAAGGCCAGGCCATCGGCTGAGTCATTGCAGCATCGCCAGCATGACCAGCAACAAGGCAATCTGGCTTCATTTCCATCCATCTGTCAATTCGACACTGGGCTAATTTCTCCACCAAGAACTCAACCCCTCTCTGCGTTGAGGCTCTCGTGTCCCCCGCTCAGCGCATGTTGAAGCGCATTTACAACTCCTCCATGCCCATGGGTATCCGTATCCAACCACCACTTACTGCGCCCTCTCCGTCTCCAATACTTCAAGCGCGCCTCCCACTAGATGCAAGCTGCCAGTAACCAAGACCATGACTTCAGCATCAACTCCTGCATTCGCTGCGTATTCGCGCGCTACGCTCCTTGCCGTTGCTACGGCTTCTTGAATAGTACGCAGTACGTGCACTTTTGCCGTGCTATCAATCTCCGACCATGTCGCCGCAAGCGCCTTCTGCACAGCGAGCGTGTCCACATCTTGCTGGTTAGTGTTGATGGCGACGAGGTCCGGCTTGTAGCCCTCGCTGAACGTCTGGTTGGTAGTGAAAATGACATGAGTAAAGGGCGAGGTCGAGCCGGTAGTCATGCCGCTCTGGAGAGTTGCATACAAGGCCTTTGCCAGTGCACTTGCATCTCGAGTTTGTTGGTTGAAGATGAGTATCCGAGGCACCCTTGGGTCGGATGTGGCTGTCCAAGTTGCAGCTCTGATTTGCTCTGCAAACCATTGGCCAGTCACCTCAATGCTCTCCATGGTATGTCCTCCATCGATATGCCATGCCACATTGGGTTCCCGTCGTACCTCGCACCTGCCTGCCCAGCGCGCCTGCTCTAGACCGCGAACAAACTCAGCGGGAAGCTCAATGTGGGCAACGGCCGTCGGGTCTGGAATAGACGAGTGACCGAGCGCACGCAAATGAGCGGCCGCGGCAGCGATGGCTACTGATGCGTTGATCTTTTGAAATGCTGCGCCCAGCCCTAATTTAATCTCATCCTTGGCCAGCGCCGGGTGCACATCAACGACAAGTAGTTGCTCGCCCTTTTCTGCAGCTCGTTCCTGAAGCACAGTCATGGCCTCATCCTTTTGGCGCGCCGTAATTGCCACACTGCCCGGCTTGAATATGCCAGCTTTGTGCCATGCGATTTCTGGCAGTGTGGAACCCAGCATTGCCGTATGGTCGATACCCAGGCTGGTCACGGCTGTCACAGTGGGTTTGGTCAAGATGTTGGTGCTATCAAACTCGCCACCAATGCCGCACTCGATGACGGCTGAGTCCACTCCCTCCTTCAGATATGCATGCAGCGCCATGAGCGTCAGATAGCGGAAATAGACTGGCTTTGTTGGCACGTCGGTGGGCGCATTTTCTGTCTGCGCCGCAGCTTCGAGCTTGTCCCATATCTCAAAGAAGTACTTTGCAAACTTTTCCTCGGATAGTGGCTCATTGTTGATCTGTATGCGCTCGCGAACGAAGCGTAGGTGCGGCGAGGTATAGAGTCCAATTTTGGAGGGTGGCCGCGCCTGGGCCCCGGCGGGAGTGGCATACTGCGATAGGATTGACGAGATGAAGGCACTGGTCGAGCCTTTACCTTTTGTTCCCGCAATGTGTACAGGCCTCAGGCAGTCGAATTCGGAGGGCTGGAAATCCGGTCAATTGCAATGCTCGCGTGGGCGTCATGGGAGCCGCACACCTCATATCCAACCTTGCGACACCACTCAATCATCTCGGGAATGGCCTGCTTGTTCATACCCCGGCCAGATTTGCGTATCGCATCGACGATGGAGAAGTTTGACTGCAGCGTATTCAACGCCGCGACGGCAGCCTATGCCCGTCAGCTCCACTCTGAGTGTGTCTCATGGCGGGCATACCGCATAGTCACGCTTCTCCATGGTGGCGGTGCTGTGGTAGAACAGGCGTCTCGAGGCTCTCAACATGGGGGCATCCTGCTGCTTGCGTAGCGGACATGCGGCTGCGCTTTTGTTCGCAGAATGGATCCGTCAACAGCCGATGTCGCCCTTGATAGTGCCGGCCTTGGCGCATTCCCCCAGCCGTTCTGTGAACCGCCGAGTGCTCGCTGTGTCCGCACAATGTACACACTGCACACTGCAAACACGACCTTCGCGGGAGCGGAACCTGGCCTCCCATCGCAGCCGAACCGCACATCCGTCTGATCGTCAGCCCTGGTTTTGTCCAGCCCATCCCAGTCCGGCCTACGTAGCCAAAACGTGTTGCGTTTTGTCGCTTCGGAGCACGCAACCCAGCGTGGAGCAACTGCGATAATGCTCTCCACACCACCCGTTCCCAGACAAGAAGGCTGGTTTTGCCCTTGAGGCACACGCCCACTCACTTTGCTCGGCCAGGCAATGCTGCGGCGTCTTGCTGGAGTAGATCGGCGCCTTTCAGTTCGAGGCTTCGAGTTCAGCCTCGAAAAATGACCTCAATCTCGCCCTCAGCTCTTGACCCCAAACACCGCTGTTTCCGTGGGTCCTGTAAACAGCAACAAAACTTATCGCATCTTGCAACATTGTGTCTCTTCCACATATACAATGACATATAATGGATAAGGAAACATGTTCCTGTGCCTGGTGAGAGCATTGCCAACAAGGCACATCCTCATCTCAAACCGATTGTCCAGATCAGCAGTATGACAAATGGCTAAATTCTTACTACCAAGAGATCTCCCAGGACCGAATGGCATTGATTATCACCAACGCAATTTCAACAAAAGGCTTGGTTTTGCCCGGCAAATAGTGCTGTATACGCCGCACTGTTAACAACTGTCAAACTTGAACAGCATGCAGATAAGAGTGCATTGCCTCGACAAGCCGCAGAAAGTCTAAATAAGGTATACAACATTACTCGTATTAGAACATCAACCCGCTCAGTTGCGCCGTTGACAGTGTACTACAGCCGTCCGGTAACCTTGTTCCTGACGATCATATCAACTAATCCATGTCATGCCTGTCAAGCCAGGTGCCAAATCCCATCCAGCGCTGATAGCCTCCACATTGACAACGCAAGCTACGTACGTACCTGTCTCTGCGCAACTGAGACACAATGCGGCTGCAACATGAGTTGGGAGCCAAGCTTGCGAGTACTGCGACCTTTTTGGTCGCATCCTTCCTTAGCCCCGCCGGATCGACGTTTCACGGATCAATATCTATCCTGGTCACCCCATCATGGCGGAGCACCGCCCGGGTCACTGCAGCACATATTATCCTCGTCCATCTCCAGTTTCTGGCCGTTTTGCTATTTTGTGCTTTTTTTGCCTCCCACACATTCACGCGATTTTCGAATGGCCTGTTGAGCAACCGTGGCGGATACTTCGCCATGGAGCTATTCATCGCATTCATACATTCCTTTGCCAATGTTGATTGGTGGCGACCAAAGGATTACATTCGGTCTTTGTGCTAGACGCACCAGACCCCCCCATTCGCTCAAAGATACGCATACACATCAGCATCAGCAATTCTTTGTGTACGGCATTGTGCAAGGGCCCTGTCGCGAACAAGTCAGCTTACAAAGGAATAAAACACGGTTTCAACAACTCCAGCCTGGTTTCTTGGAAGCAACATTCACTCAAACACGCAAACCTCTGCAGGGAGCACATCTTCCAGAATAATTCTTAATTGCCATTGCCATTGTCCGACAAAACCCCGTCATGTATACCATCGCCATCACTCTAACCGCCCTCTTATCCATACTCAACACAACCTCGGCGTCTTCAGTATCGCGCCTCACTCGTCGCGGCCTCCCAGGAGCATATTACACATGCACAGATCCCAATTTCTCGGGAGAGTGTAGCTGGACTCAGCCTAACACCGATTGTCACATCCAGGGTAGTCCCGAAGGCATCGAATCGCTTGGGCCGGACGAAGGCACTCTTTGCACCCTATGGCCAGGGTTTGACTGCACTGGGAATCCCATCAAGTCTATGCGATTTCCCGGCATCGCAATGGGGTTACCAAAGTTTGGGAGTTTCAACTGTTCGGTCATGGCCAGCAACCAGCGGAAGCAGGTGGAAGCTGTGGCCATAGTTGGGGGAGTGGCTTTGGAAAATGGAGAAATTAGGGAATATGGGTTAAAGACTGTAGATGGAAAGGGCAGAGAACAGGGGATGATTGGATTGAAAAAGGGTGTTTATTATTGACGTGGCAGTGATACAGGTGCTATAAGTTCTATACGGGACGGCTTTCTGGAGGATGCACGGGCGCATCTTTACGACATTTACCTTTCTTGTGTTTCTTTGTTGAGTGTACAGTAGACGTTTGGATGGTTCTAATGCTACTGGATAGCAGTGCTATATGTAGTTTTCTCCTGGGACAAAGACCCACAAAATAATACCCCTAGCAAACATCCAAGATGTGGTTGGCATACAAACTCATGGGGCGCATAGTTGTGTTGGCGAGGTTGTCAGAGCAAAACATGTGTGTTGCGCAATATGTTTTGACACGCGTAATAATTCAGTCAACTTTCGTCGAGCGGTAGAATATATTAAATAGTAATTACAAGTAATTAGATGTAGAGATGGGAGCTAGATCGGCAAGGTCCAACACCTAGCACCCCCAGCCAGCTTTGTTAGGGCCACATGGCTGCTTGGCATGCTTCCCCACATGGGCCACCGCCATCCGTCGCGCCGCCATTGCAACGTCGCCTTTCTCCATACACTCTTTGCTTACTCGGAAAAAAGAAACCTCCACATCCCTCCAACCCGTCAAAATGAAGGTCACCATACTTCTTGCATTGGCCACGGCCGCCGTTGCTGACATCATCAACAACGAGGTAAGTAGAGCCGGTTATGGCATGCGTATGTCGAGCATAACATACTGACAATGTCTATAGTACCTTAAGACCGAAGTCATTACTGAGGCCAAGTGCTCTCGCGCGACCAAGGCTGGCGACAAGATCCACGTCCATTACCGCGGTACTCTTACAGACGGCACCGAGTTCGATGCTTCATACGGTCGTGGCTCGCCCTTGAGCTTCACCGTCGGCTCAGGCCAGGTCATCAAGGGCTGGGACCAGGGACTTCTGGATATGTGCCCCGGTGAGAAGAGGAAACTCACCATCCAACCCAAGTGGGCATACGGCGAGCGGGGTGCTGGTCCTATTCCCCCCAACAGCGTTCTGAGTAAGTCGGGTTGAGTCGCCACATTGCAGATGCTTCTGAACTAACTCTTGGCAGTCTTCGAATCAGAGCTCGTTTCCATTGACGGCGTTGCAAAGGAGGAGCTCTAAACATTATATATGATCTATGAATGTACACTCTACGGTTTCCAGTTGGATAACTGAGTTATGAGCAAACAACAAATGCAATACGATGTCATGAAATATATGTCCAAGAGGACCTCACATTCAAACCTCTGCAATCACAATCAAAAACAAACATGAGTGTCTGCTATACGAAAATTCGAACGCACAGGTCGTTGGCCAACACGCCTGGTCGTGAATACAACAACATGATGTCTTCACTCAATACGGCGCATGACTGCCTCTTCCCGGCCTTTCCCTACACTTTATGTTGCCTGGTTCTTATTCATTGCTTTTATTGGTTAGATTCATAAGCTATGCTCAAAGCGCGTTTTCATGTTGAGTACCATCATCTCTGTCTTAGGCCCCCATTCACTTGTTTGCTTTCACCACCACAAGCCCACTGTACATTAACACTATAGCTTTCACGAAAGGAAACCGCTTTATACTATGTCCTTCACAATGTCTTGGTCGTCTCTACGCAACGAAACCCACAAGCCGAATGTAAACTTTATTCAACTGACAACTTCTGCACATCAACATCATAAATATACTTCGTTCGCCCATTCGAAATGATTATCTTTTTTTCTCCTATATTGAAAACAATGGTATCAACCAACAAATTCAACGCTTCTGTTGCAAAGCCCAAGCCTGCTGTCAAGCAGGTCAAAGTTGTCAACAGAGGGTCAGAGATCAAGCAGATGACGGCTACCGCCGACGCAGTTAGGAAAGCAGCAACATCCTCCAAGCAGCCTTCCAGTCTTGATCCGATCCCGCACAAAGATCCTGACTCAACCCACAACGCGCACACTTCTGGTCGGATCCTGATCGGAAAGAATGCGGCCTCAAGAATAAGACAGCGCAATGATGCGGTTGGCAAGACTGCTGGTCCAATCTCACAGCCCAAGACTAAGAAGATTGCAACTGAGAAAAAGGATGGATTATATAATGCTTCTTCGAAGCCCAAGTCTGCGTTGCCCAGATCCGCTACAGTTGCTACTCCAATATCACAGCCCAAGGCTAAGAAGGACACAAATGATAAAAAGGATAGAGTATATAACGCTCCCTCAAAGCCCAAGTCTACGTCGCCTAGGCCTGATATAGTTGCTACAGAAGCTGCGACAGCCAAACGGCCTGCCCCTTGCCAAAACAGTTCACGCCAACGTATGGCTAACAACGCAATTCGATCGCTAAAAGAGCGTAGGTGGATTGCCAAAACGGCGCTGGATGGTCTTTTCCCGCTGTTGAAGACTGATGATGCGATTGAGATCGCTGTTGCTGCTCTCGAGAAGCAGATTGACGATTGTGACTCAGACATCCAGCAGCTGAAGAGACTTGTTCACAGCTCGCATGCAGGTGATGTCAAGCTCATGGACTTCAAGGTAAGGATGCCTCTTCCCATTTAGAGTCAAGTGTTCTGATCTGTACAGGCTATTCTCGCTTTGGCTTCACTGGTGTCATGTAAGAGGAATACAGACGAGGACAACAAACCCAACGACACCATTACGAAGACACCTAGACCAGATACAAAGGGGAAACAACTCGAGAGAGGAACCAACCAAACTCGGCCGAGGGACGAGACTTTGAATACCATCGAAGGCAACCCAATAACCACCAACGAAGCCAGAACAAAGAGAATGAGTCCACAACTAGACGACGAGGTAATGTTTCCCCTTCATATCTGCGTATGCTCTGTTGCCGACTGACCAATGCAAGCTATTCGGGCCTGACTCCGACTTAGCAGCACCAATAAGCCCTTGCACAAACCCCATTACCCCATGTCAAATGAATACCGATGCACACCCAGGACTGCCAAAGTCCAAAGCAGTATGCGTGCCGAGGACCCACAAGCCCTTTAACGCACCCACCGCGTACCCAACAGAAAACGGCATAGCTGCAGAGCCAATCAAGAACGACAAACTACACACGGGTAACGCAGACAACCGAGAGCAAACACAGACACAGAGTTCGGAGAGCAAATCACCTTATCCGAAAGATAATGGTGGTGGTGTCAAGCCTGTGTCACGTGCGAGCAGTGAAGACAGATTCCTGGACAAGAAAAAGGGGGTTGAGGACAAGCGAGGCGAGAAGCGCAAGTACGGATACATTGAGGCTGAGGACACGCCGAATAAGAAGGTCCATCTTTCAGGGCAGTGATTCTGCCTTGCTCTAGGCTTATGGTGCAGTCGTGATGAAAGATGGCAGCGCATAAGGGGACAAATGGAGACTGCCTAGAGGGTGATGTAGATTTGCCACTTGGACCGGGATATTCTGTATATGAAGGCTGTGCAATGTGCTCAGTCGGCACGTGTAGAAGTAGGAAGAACATGTATCTGATCGGCGAGTGGAAGAGGCACTCTTTAGTGTGGCTGGCTAAAGCTAGGTGTAAGTAGACAACAATGTGTTGAAGACTCAGTAGTGCATACATAGATGGCTTGAACAGCTATAACAACGTCAGCCATTCTTATTCAAAGCCACTTTCATTGCATGATGACATTGTCTTTCAGTCGATAATTTCACTCGACGGCGTACGCCTCCGCAATGTTGGATAGGCCGACTTGGGGAAGTGCACAGAGGCGCTGAAATTACGTGACTGGCTAGTGCTCACAGCCTTGGGCGCCGCCTTGTCAGCGCGGTCAGACATGTGCGTAACATTGGCTACACGTGGAAATCAGTGCCATGGCTGACGCGAACCATTTCAGGTAGCTACTTCCAGCCCGATTGTGATGTCAAGTTGGAGAGTCTTGGTAGCCGTGCATGTGAGGGGATCGGGTTCGATTTGCACAACTATGACATCACCCGGCATATAGTAGCTGCCGGGACGTGCATCGGGTTTCAGAATCGGTTAGCCAAGATGGGCATGCAGTTCACTCCAACATGTTCGAATATTGCTCACGGGCCTCTTTCCTCATTGCGCTCAACGACCGCTAGGAGATGCCTTGGGAATTTCTACAGAGCGGCGAGTTGCCGGTATGGACCCGTTGGAGAGGCTAGACCTCGGTAGAACCCTCAGCCGGCCTGGGCGTACTACTCATTCACCGTCCTAGAGAATATGCTGCGGCACAGTGTGGTACCTCATCGTCATTCGCGTCGCCGGGCTGTGAAAGGGGCTTCCGTCATGCGAGTGGCCACAGTCAGGAGCTATTCATCGCCACGAGGTGCCTGGCGTGGACACAAGTTGTAGTCACTTTCCAGGTCAGCAACTCTGTCTGGTGCGGAACGCGAGACGTGGAGTGCTCGGAATAAGGCCGATTAGTTGAGTCTGCCGAGGCGAGGCAGACTGCTGACCACGACCAAGTTCTATCCGAGTAGTTTCAAGAAGAAAAAAAACGAGCCGTCTTGGACAGCGGGCAGCCTGCAAACAGAAGTGTTGCTTGAAGTGTTCCGGATTGCAAACGTTAAGTATAGGGCTACTACAGTGTGCATGCAGCCAATTACACGCGGCTGAAATTAACCGAACAAAAGCATGCAAAGAGAGAGAGATTACAGCATTCCAGGGCCAGCAGCCTGGCAATCTCGCAAGGTGGCAAGAGACTCCAGGTAGCATTCCAGTATACGCCGCAGCACGAGGCGAATGCTACATAGTACGTATACAGTAGACTATTCAGCTTTGCCAGCCCTGTCCTCAGCTCGCCCCTTGTGGCGTAGCGGGTCCAGCCAATCGCAGACAATAGAGATTTGAGGCTAAGCACATGCGCCACGCAGCGCCACGCAGCTAAGCCGCAGGCTCCAGCCAATCACTATGCTCAGTGCCTGAAACTAGAGCATCGATCTACATGTAGTCTCCAAACGCATGGTCCCTATCGCATCTTCACCATTCTTTCGGTTTCAACCTGCTCAAATGTCCATACAATGTCTTCTGGCATTCTACAAGCCATACAAGTGTGCCGGAGCGGAAGCTGGGCGGCGTCCGTGCTCCAAGGCGCGGAGAGCTTTTGCACTGCCCCCTTCCAAGACCGCCGGGCAGCTTGTCTTGTGCCCATCTCGCCTTCAACGGTTCTAGTCGCCAAAGCAATCCCTCTGGCCTATCTTGGCGAATACTCGCCAGCTCAGCGTCCACCACGACGATAGGAGCTGGCCAGGGTCTTGCAACCCGTGCCACGGCCGCAACATTGCTGGCCTGCATCTACAGTCATGGCGAAAAAAGCCCGAACCCTCACAGAGGCGGTACCGCGCCAAGCAGCCCTCTGGCAGAGCTTGTATCATCAGGCAGGTCCATACCGGCACCAAGCGCCCAGCAGGCTTGGTTATGGGGCAAACAAATACACAGCCCACTTGGAAGCCAGTGTACTATATGGCGGCTCCAGGCGCGCCCCTCGACGTGTCAGACCCGGCCATCATTTCACCTTCACGTGCACTCACCGCTATCTACTACTACTAGTATCTAGTATATACCCCTACTTCGAATATTTTGAGACCTAGCGGCAGCAGTGTTACCTGACTTGTATCTCCCTTTTCCATCTTCACCATGGAGACGGGCAAGTTGGCCCCGCCGACACTCCAGATCAACACACGGCAACGCGCGTTTAGCCAGGCCGATACAATCACCTCACAAACATCAGATCCCTTCCGAACACCAATATCACCAAGTAATGCGTCCACCAGTGGAGTATCGACAG